GGAATATACAAAATTGTTGTATACAAAACATATTTGGATAGAATGCATTTGGACGTCCTGCTCATAGTCTTCACACTAAAGCAAAGATTTTTTCAAATACAATAATAAAGAAAATTTACTTTGTATTTGCACGTACTGCTTTTGCTGTAAATCTTAAAAAGACAAGAGCCAGATGGAGACCAAAAACCATAGAATACAAGAAATTGCAACAGAAATAAGCTGATAATGTTACTGGTGATAGAAGACTGTACAAAAGTCGTCAACTCATGGTCATTTTCCCACTCGTATTTCTGGCATAAAGCAATTGTGTTTATATGGCTTTGTGGATGTATAGCAGCTTGAAGGGTGGAATATGGCAAGGGAATTATAAGATACGAAAACATAACATCAATTTCTCAGAATGGCAATGCATGAATAGTTTCACAGAAGTGGCATGTTATTCTGCAATATTCATGGTACTGTTCCTACACGACGGTTTCCTCTTTCCATCAGGCTGGCTGTCAGCTTATTTGCCATTCGAAATTGCATAAAAATAATTATCGCGTCCGCTTTAAAGCAACGCAAGAGCTTTACGCAAATTCGTATAGATATTGTATATCACATCACAGTCTCCAACGAAGAGCTCCCGCACTCATTCTCAAATTCAATTTGTTGTTTAAACAGATATAATACATAGTATAATGTGCACGGTTATACGTTGCGTGTACCCCTAGGATTACCCTGCCGCGATTTAGTACCTCCGTTGGGGTAACACTGGCAATAAGATATTTGAATGTTAGAACATTCAAGTTTATTGCTCGGGCCACAACAAAATGGAATGGATACTCCTATTTCTTTCTGAGTGTTCGGAGACAATTTGGAAATAAATTCCGTACCTACACGTTCAACATTATACAAGCAAAAGGTACAATGATGCTAGTTTATCCTTACTGGAATAAATATTTACACTCCAAATATTTAAAATGAACAAAATTTTTTTAAAAGTTATGTTCATTTATTTTTATCCACAATGTGAGGCAAGACGTTTCGACATAAATACTATATTCACCTTCAAGAAAACTTCCGGATAAAATAGATTTTTTTTTTTACTTAGAATAGCAAACAAGCTGACGGCCCACCTAATAGAAAGTGGTAACCGTCGCCTATAGACATGATCAGTACTATGGACATGACAGAATATACTGCTTCGCCCATGATACCCCCGTGCGTTACCGTTCCTGAGGACTCAGATGTTATTCCTCTGTAAATTCACGCCATATCCCACCCTTCAAACCGAAACACAGCCAAGCAAACACAACTGCTTCACGGTTGAAACACGAATGGGAACAGAGGTACCCAAGCAATCGACTTTTGTACAAAGTCTCCCTCTGGTAAATAATTGTCGGAAATAACAAACAAAATGAGTTTATATAATTTCCGTTACAAATACATATATAAATAGATATATAAAATAAAAACAATCAGAAAGACAGACGACGCAAATAAAAACTAAGGATGGCTCTATTAGACTATTAGGAGGAAACTATGTATAAAAGTCGTCTGACTGACGCTTCCATTCCACTCATATTAATGCTGCCATACAGCTGTGCTTGTATAAGTGTGTTTCAGTTTAGAAGTGGGATATATCTGTGTTACAGAGTATATAGGCATTACACCTTAATCCTCAGAAATACTAATAAGTGAGTTTCCTTGAATTTATGTCTAAAGGTGACGATTATCACAAACTGTCAGATGGGTAGACAGCTTGTTTGCTATTTCAAACTGCAGATACAAAGTATTCATCTAATAGTTTAGGTCATCAAACCATTTTGTAAGCTAAAAACTTTATCTACACTGTTTGAAGTTATCGAAGTTAACGTCAAAGAAAACTAGAAAACAACTAACTCGTATAGTTTCGGTAGTTGGCGCAGTAATAAAAGTCCAATTGATTACCAAATACTTCCTAAGTTGCTTTCCACGTATCTTAAGTTGCTACATCAGTAAAGTAAATAAAGAAGAGACAAAAGTACTAACTAACTGGAACTAGACGACAGACGTCGAAGTCAAATAACTTTGTTCTCTTACAAGTCATAGTTAGTAGGAATTTACTCGTTATATGCTCATACAAACATTAATCGAGATAAAAGTTATAACTATTCATTTATCTTCACTCAATCATTTTATCCGAGTAGGAAAGTATGCAAACTACCTTCGTATCAAAAATACACAGTTATTTTATTATTTTAGGATCGGAATCTAAATGTAACCAAAGTACAAAGGTATTTTAAGCAATCAAAAGAAAAAGATGTCAGTTAATTAAATTTCAAGTTTAACAGAATCAGTATTAGGTCTTCTGCATCTCTCGTTATCATAATTGTCTCTTATTATTGCTATCGTTTTAGATATGTTTCCACCCAAAACTTTGTCATGGCAAACTCGAATTCAAATTGTAATAAGTCCAATTTACTTTGTACCAATAAAACTGGTACGATTTCCGAATTCCAAGCAGCATTTACGTAACTTTATCATACGCTCGAGTACTTACGGTTAAATGAGAAAAATTAAGGACATCCAGGTATAAATATTAATAGGTGCTGGAAAATTCCAAAGTCAGGCCGCAAAATTGACTTTTGGAGAGAAACACGCGAAATGAAACTGCAATATCGTAAAAATTCCACGAAAAGTCCGTAACTAGTGTGTATTTTTGTCGATTTAAGTGATGCTGAATATCCAATTTAATCATGAACATTATTTGAATGTATACAAATCCGTGTTACAATGTTCATTTACAATGATTTCCAAAACCACTCAACCAATTTCGATGAAATATTCTAAATAAGAAATAAATAATAAAAAAGAGATAAGATGGTTTTTATTCCGATAAAACAAATTGATCAGCAGATAGCGGTAAAAAGCAAAACAGTGTTTGCTTTATCAACTAGTTGCGACATAAAAATTCTCACTTTTTATTTACTTTTATTGCAACTTTAGATACTTTTTATCTGGCCGACAAAACATTGTATAATATATTTATGGGTAAATATATATATTTTTCTATTCATTATATATATCACTAAATTGTAAACACTCGCAAGGCACCAGTCATAGATAATAGGTAAAAATCTAAAGGCAGCTCATTAAAAATTCAACACGATGATTTTCAGGGAGACCCGCATGGATATTGTCCTGTGTGACTGGTAGTCCCCATTACTAATAATCCCTCCCCCCCATGTTACACACATATTTCACAATACCCATGTGGTTTCACAATATCCTACACGTAAAATTAGTGCTAACTTACCTATTCGAATCGAAGCATTACAATTTATTATTTTATTGTATCTGTCGACCCCAACAGGAGACAGTCCTATAATAATATTACGTATATTGTATGGTATGCTACTAATATGATAGAAAAGAGATGTGTTTCTGAGCGTCACCTGTGGCACTCGAAAGAAATTGCTTTTTAATACAATAGGATCTTCTTCAACAAGTTTCCATATTCAAAGTTCATATTTTATGGAGCAACTTCGGGTTTTATTAAAATTCTGGATACTCTTGTTCATAAAAGTGCCATTTTATGTGAGGATCCCGCTGAAAGTCTTTCAGTGCTTTGAAAATTTACATTTATATTGGGTATGTTTTTTATACCTTCATGTCGACATGCACGTGGGTGAGTTTCAGTATTATCCGCTTTAAACAAATATATGTTATTACTTATTACATTCGCAATGACAACTCGTTTAGTTAGTGGAAATCTTGATTCAAAAACCTCTGAAGTTTTGAAATTAGAATTTTTGAATGGCTTCAATATATGATTTGAAGTCTACAACTTACCTGTATTTTATATATGTTATCTTGTATATAGGTTACTTGCCAATTTCTCCTAATCGATAAAATCTGGAAGTAGAGGGGGGAGCTTAGGATAAGGATTGTAGGCCATTTCTAGCAATATCTCTACCCAATCAGGTCAATTTCCATGCGGTTCTCTTTAGAAACCATTATAGTTAATTTTTGGTAAATTGATCACCGTAAGTGACCTGACCTCATTTTATCCTCACGTATTATATCTACTGGCGGGGCACCAGTTACCATTCCATTTTTGTCCTATTAAAAATAAGATTTTATATAACTAACTGATTGTTGTATCAGTTATTAACTGTCCATTGCAACTGAATATAACCTCTACCATAAAAAAAAATTTGCCAGTAGTTGCTACGCTTGAAAGGCAAAGTGGCAATCGCAGTTTGGCTTTTGGTGATGTTTTAAGAGGGGCGCTGCTGCCCATTCTTCCACCATAGGCTCCCCTAATCGCCTTTCACGGCACCCCTGAGAAAAAGGAATAACCTATTCTATGCCGGAACCTAAACCGCTAAAAACCGCTTTTGATAATCGATAAAAAACAGTTACTATTGTAGGCATATTCAAGGGAGTTGGTGAGCATACCCACCCCATATTTTGTGAAAACTTAATTAAAATTAAATAATTTTTAAGTTGTATACTTGTTGAACATGGGCATATAGACTTATGTCTCGGATATATTATTTGTTAGATATATTTTCGAGTTCTAAGCTATTAAAACATAAATATATAAACTATATATCTGTATTTTATTTATGTATAAGCTATAATTTAAAAGTGTTAAGATTTTTTACGTTTTAGTGCACAGAACAACATGAAAGAACGAAACGCTCTAAATGTCAATGTCACTATATGAACATGACTAATGTAGAGTCGGCACTAATTCTATCTTAGTAAAACTAAGTAATAAATTTATGTAACTATATTTATCCAATATTCTTTTATTCTGTTGTGTTGATAGTTCAATATTATCAATATTAATACAAATAATTATAATATACTTTTGTTGGATAACTGATATTGATAGATATTATAAGAAACTTGGCGATTTTATAGTGTATAATTTTCAAATTCGATGAACTAGATGATTGCATAGATATTTTATACCAACTGTATTTTTTCAGAGTGGCATTCTCCTAAATATGACAATTAAAAAAAATTACAACCAACTTGGACATGTTTATCTAATCTAGTATATTGTTGATATGTTGAATTTTCAAACCTTGGGATACAATAAAGTACAATTTTCTAAATTATTATGTGGTTTTCGATAGTAACAAATAAAACAAAACGATTTATTGAACTAAACATCTTTTTAAATAACAGTAACATTATAGTATTTTGGTCATATTTGAATTCTACAATCGCTGTAATGTTATAACCTAAAAAATGATGTTTTTGTTGGTATATAGGATAAAATTTTATGTACAAAGTTATTTGTTATATTAACAAATGTGTGATACTAAGCAGTACAGATGTGTGAACTGTAGGAAGGGCCACAGTGCTCTTTATAAAACTTATGGTCCGTCTGTACTTAAACTTACTAAATGTGTGAGTATTTATTCTATCTATAGTTATTTATAAAGTATAACTTTTTTTTAAGTGGATTATAATGGAATGATAACCCCGCCTGCGCTAATGGTATACGCTGGCGGAGCATCTGTGATGGATGATAGGTGAGAATGAAAATGCAGGTCAGTTAGCCCATTGTGATGAATACACTTGGTATTCAGCACGTTGGTTTTCAGGGCGGACCACGGGGAGGTCGATCTGGCAGGGTATATTGCTAGCAATGGTACTGGTAGTCCCCATTACTAACAATCCCTCACCCCCGATAACTCCCTCTGTAGTATTTCACCCTAGTATTATATAATCATTTATTATTTATCATACTGTACATTCTTTTATACATGCAGTCTGGGCTAGTTAAACCCAAAAATTCTATAGCAACCTTCCTATTCAATATAATAATGTATTCCGGGTGCTATCGAGGTTACTGTGATTTTGTAGTGCATCAGGGATGTTTGCAGAAGCTCACATAGATTTCTTTTGTCACAATGTGTAAAAGATATGTATCACTGGTGTATAGGCTGCGGTGAAGTACCAACGGCATCCTGAATATGATTGCGAATAGGTTGGACTGCTCTTACATTGATCACTGTTGTGGAATCGCAAATAAGATGTTTCAGCTATGACCAAATTTGTTTATGGTCTCTTTTTTCTTTTATTTATTTTATTGTAAGATGAACTAACATTAGGCTAAGATTATTTTATTAACAGATTGGACTATTTTATCTTGTAATAATAAAGGTGATATTAAAGTGAGTTGGTGACCTTTTTTTCCACCATAAATATTTAGAGAAACCTAATGTTATGGTAACCCCGCCTGCGCTAACGAGATACGCTGGTAGAGCACCAGTGAAGGGTGATAGATGAGAATGAAAACAGGCCAGTTAGCCCATCATTATGAATTCATCAGGAATTATCCATGATAGTTTCCAGGGGGAACCGCAAGGAGGTGTCGACCTGGTTGGGTATATTGCTAGCAATGGGATTCTCACTCTCCGTTACTAACAATCCCTTTCCCCCCAATATATAGATATTGTAGTGGTACCAAAATAATGCCCATACCTAGGTATATATAGCATTTTAAAGTATATTTTGTGTGTGACAATTGTATATTCTAATATTTACAGGATAAATGCAAGGGTATAGTGGACAAATACATTGAATATGATCCAGTTATAGTGATGATTGATCTTGTATTGATGTCAAAAGAGGCACAGAGACATGTCCTGTACAACACAGGATTTGAGGTGAAACATTTTATTTTAATATTTAGTTTGTCCGAATTGAATTCCGTTCAACAATTGCTGCTGATATTTTGGCAGATTTAATTATGAAATAAATATTAAGTGAGACTTTTAGAGTTGTCAATCTAAGAAACATTATTGATAGTTTTCAAAAATATTTTCACAATTTTTTTTATTCATACATTTAAGAATTTTTTTTCTCACACCATATACCAACATATATAGAAGTGAATTCTATAATAATTGTAACAGGTTTAAATATTTCCATTTAATATTTAAGGATTATGTCTTTATGTTAATCTCTCAAGAGATGACATTGTCAGATCCTTTAATAATTTATGACATTTCTTTCCATTTAGTCTAATATTTATTGCAAACAATATTTATTTAATTACAAAAAATTTATATACATCTACAATTTACAAGTATTTAAATGAAATATTGTTATTAGATAGAGACTCTATATTGCTTGCTCTAAAGGATTACAATAGTAAATTTATTATAGATACAAGCTGTTATATATCAAATGAAGAATAACACAAATTAATCTTGACTTTTTTATTGTGAATCATGTATCACAAATGATGACAGACTGTGTATTAGTACATACATAATAATAGCTTTTTCTAGGGTTGCCATCTGTCCAGGTTTCCTTGGATTTATCCTAGTTTAGATGGCATCAAGGCCCAGCATAATTTAAAGTCTTGGGCATAATTTTGTTTTGTTAGGTACATTTAAAATGATCATAAAAGATGACTAAATTTAATTTTAAAGTCTGAAAATAAATAATAAGGTGATTTATGCCATTTTCAACAGTTTTTTTACACTAACTATGTTTAAAAAATTTGTTGATGTGTTCGGGATCTGGGTTTTAAAATCCGGGGTTTTCACACGTCATGTCCTGGTTGCGAAATTTTAGAGATGGCAACTCTAGCTTTTTCCATAAAAAGTTATCACAATGAGAGTGGTTCAAGACAAACACTAACACATTGAATTATTGATATACAACACAAATAATTACAAGAAATGATGACAGAAAAATAACCTTTGGATTAATTTTTATTTTTATTTTGAATAATCTTTATACCGAGAGAGATATAATGTTTCTATTATTATTGCAGTCATACTGGAAGCTGTTCATAATTCTGATGATGCTGGAGACATATGGTGTGTGGCACAGCGACAGCCTGTTCAACCTACTGGTAGACACAATCTGTGATTTCTCAAACCGAATGGACAACCAATCCAATTAGTAAGTATTTTCTTTTTGTATATATGTAACTGGACAATGGAAATTGAATTAGTTCGAGATGAGTCTCTGTGACATAAGTACTAGTTTTAACATGACGAAGACTTCCGGATGAAGTCTAAACAATTTTCGTAAACTACAGATACAGTAAGTGTATTAAATTTTAGCTGTCTGGCTATATATTTTAAAGCTTAAATATGTGACTCAAATAATGTAATTTGTAATTTGTGAAATGATTGTAATTTGTAAATGATTGTAGTATTATTAATACTGACATTTATTTAATATGACGATTTAAGTAAAATAGTGTTAGCATAGTATAGTGGAACAATTAAATAAATTTTGTACGCCAGATTCTGGTGAAAAATGTGAACAATATTTAAATATTATATTCCATCTTTTATACCATTTTTCAAACAAAATAAAGTTATTTGTATTTGTATATATTTTAAACATTTAATTTTTTTTTAACATAAACACTCATACTTTTATATAACAAGATTTATACACAATTATGTATGAGTGAACACTGTCTCATCTAGTAATTGTTTGGCTGAACCAAATAAATATCTACTGCCCATTGAGGAAAATTGAAGGGTTCCTCATATTTGCCATTCTGGACATTTGCTGGGTCTGACCAGCCAAAATTGACGCTAAAAGTATTTTATTTTGCAATATTTAATAATTAACATCCATCTAAATAAAGATAAGGAAATAAAAGTTATTTATCCATTCATTACAAAATCCACAGCTTTTAAACTATGACATTATAGTGTTATTTTTTTATTATTACAGCTAATTATGGATTTAAACTATTTACTATTGGCACAACTCCCCCCCCCCCCCCCAGGGTGAAGGCTGATCTGATGATGATGGTGATATATTCCTTACTAGTTTTTTTTATTTTTTTTTTATTTAATAATTAGGTAAATTGATGACATAGATCACATCTCGATGGTATACCGAGATAAATAGACAAGCATAAAGTATACTAATATATGTATTGCTATTTTTTATAATTACATTTTAAGCGGCCTTCAGAAAATTATCAAGATGGAACATGCATCAGATTTTAAGTTACCTTCAGGGACAACTGCGAAAACTACATCTAATTTGCTGCAATAGTTTTTGTGTGATGCGGGCATAAATTTATAGACAGACAGACAGTATTTCTGAAGATTATTGTTTAGCTTCTATTGCTTTTATTAAGACCCCTCATAGGAATTGTACAGTTAAAATTTTACATACATTGTTTAGTTAAAATTTTACTATATTAGTAAAATTATGTAGTTGGTTAGTGTTATTTTTTTAAAGTGATTTACAAAAGAAGCGGGTTTTTAATTCGTTTTAATTTTTTTTTTTTTACTACTTTGATATGTTACTTAATTTAATTCTTAATTCCGAACCAATTTTTACAGTTCTTTTTGTCATTGATAGTGGAGCAAAAATTTGTTTATTGCGAGTTCCATTAACTTCTTATAAAGTCATATAAATTAATATAATTTTCTTTTAAATCAATATAAACTCTTTTGAATATCAGGTCTTTTATTGATTTCTGCATTTGTTAATCAATTGATCCAAATATGAATTGTTTGTTTATATTTTTCCAGCACAACCAAAGTTGCTGAGTACTGGAAAGTCAAATGCTGGGAGTACAAACAAGAGAACAGGGGGGACAACAACGATCTCTTCATATGGGAGAAAGATTTTTATATCCAATTCTTAGCTACATTTAGTGGTAAGTTTTGCTGTATAAACTTTTTTTTACAATTTATACAACTTCTGATGAAAAATGGTAATGATCACCTATAGATATGAACATCGCTACGGATGAATATCACAGAATGCAATGCTCATAAATGGCCCATGCGTTTTTTTTATAACACAGAGCAAACGAGCATGCGGCTCACCTGATGGTAAGTGACTACCGCCGCCGATGAGCACCTGCAACATCAAAGGCATTGCTTGTTTTCTGTTTGCCAATATAAATGCCTTTGGCATTGTAGGTGTGCTGTTTGCCTTTTATGCTTTTATGCGTTGCCAATCCTGAAGACTAAGGTTGTTATGCCTAAACATTTTTCCAAAGAATTAGTTCAAAAGCGACAAAAGAAAACTCGTTACATTGGAGAAAAAGGATTTTTAGTAACGTCACTTGCCTTGAAAACCATCATGGTTAATTCTAGTTGAATTCATCACAATGGGCTAACTGATGCCCCGCTAGTGTTTTTTTTTGTGCATCTTAAAATGGCAAACAAGCCAACGGCCTACCTGATGACATAAGCTGTACCATGGACATAACAGAGTATAATGTTTCGCCCATGATATCCGCCATGCGTTGCCATTTTATTTTCATTTCTTGAAATCACATGCATCTCTCAAGTTGGTATGAGTTTTTATTGGTAAACCGGCACTGACACTATCTCAGGGGGATCTAAATGATTTATATTACACCCTGTATGTAATGCCGTGTCGTCACGGTATAGAATGATGCACCCCTTTCTTTCCCCTAATAGGGGAGGGCTATATTCGGCAACGGATAGTAAACAGCTGATTTGATGATATTTTTATACAACTTAGATTGGCAAACGAGCTGACGGTCCACCTGATGGAAACTGGTAGCCGTCGCCTATAGAGATGAGCAGTACCATGCACATAACAGAGTATACTATTTCGCCCATGATACCCCCCGTGCGTTGCCCTTCCTGAGGACTCAGGTATTATTCCTCTCTCTGTACTCTGTAAATTCACGCCATATCGCACCCTTCAAACCGAAACACAGCCATGCAAACACAACTGCTTCACGGTTGAAACACGAATGGGGCAGAGGTACCCAAGCAAACGAATTTTGTACAAAGTCTCCCTCTGGTATGATGATGAAGTATATATGTAATATGTATTCTAGGTTGTTTTAAAATATGAATAATGATACATTTCAGTGAACAAATAATCTGAAACAAATGAAATGGCATTCCATATCGCTCCATTGCTGGGTTTCCCATAAGAATGATATGTTTCTATAACTAATAACGCAACATTTAAAATATTTGTAGTCTAGTGTTATTTAATTCATTATAATTGTTACATCATTTCCTCGCACTGTATAACTATGTTACAGTAAATGCTGTGAATACCTTTAATAGGCGTGTGCATTAATATTGTATTATATTTAATGTTTGTTATATGTGTTATAATGCAATATGCTGTTGGTGTTCCTTTAAATAAATAAATAAAAAAAGAATGGATTGGGATATATTTCAAGTTTCCTATCTTTTGGACTGTTATATTGTGCTTTGTTCCCTAGTTGTCTCTTAGGTATATATGTATTACTTATGTAATGGAAATGAGAAGAAATGGTGCCACATTGTAATCTGCTCTGTATAGGGCCACACATAGAATAAATGTACAATGTAATAATAATATTACTTCTCTTTTTTTCGTTACAGGAATATTAGTTTTTCTACTGATACTGCATTGTATTATGAGCACCGTGAAGTCCAAGTTTATGAATAAAGAAGGTAAGTACTTACATAAAAATATTTTGCACATTTATAGTATAATTTGTTTTTTTTACAACACACCCCTGTGTTGTAAAAAAAACAAATTGCCCCCGCAAGCGAGCATGCGGCTCACCTGATGGTAAGTGACTACCGCCGCCCATGATCACCCACAACACCAGCGGCACTGCAGGTGTGCTGCCGGCTTTTTAAAAAGGAATATACTCTTTTTCTTGAAGGTTATGTTGTCGTATCGGTTCGGTAATACTGCTGCTGGAAGTTGATTCCTGTTATTTCTGTATTCTCATGCTCTACAGCCTAGATGGTCGCGTACAACGCGGTTTCAGAGATGTTTTCTCCCATGAACACTCAGGTTATGGAATGAACTTCCTGCCGAGGTTTGCCCAAGAGACTACAGCATTGGATTCTTCAAAAGGGAGATAAAGAGATTTCTTCAGGGTCGGCAACGCGCGCGTAATACCTCTGGTATTGCAGGCGTTCATAGGCTACGGTAACCGCTTACTATCAGGTGGGCCGTATGCTTGTACGCCACCTGTGGTATAAAAAAAGAATCATATCAGCCGTTATCTGTCCGCTTCTAAACATAGGCCTCTCCCATAGACTGTCACAAGGAATGGTGACCTGGAACACGGACACCCTGCAATGCAATTGAGGTCGTCACTTCATCTAGTGAAAAGTCCTCCTACACTGCGCTTGCCGGTACAGGGTCGCCACTCGAGAATTTTCACTATCGGTTAGCTTCGAACTATGCGTATTGCAGCCTATTGTCACATCAGCTTGCTCATCCTTTGGGATTTTGATATATTAAGTAAAACTATTCTCAGTTGCCGTGTGGTCCCGGCATGGAATGGGCCACCCCTTTCTTTCCAGTGGGTGTCCTAAGGGAGGGCGAGGGATGGGCAACAGCGTCCCTATTAAAACATCTCTAACCTAACTGCGATTGTCAACCCGCCTGTCAAGCGTGGCAACTTAACCAAAACTCCCCTTATGGGGAAGGCTTATATTCAGCAGTGGACAGTAACGGTTGGAATGATATGGTGCATCTCAGTTGCAGTGTCGTTGCCCCGGGTGGTGCAGGCGTTCTCGCTGGCGAACATGAGCGCGGTGTTCTCGCTGCCGACGCTGGTGTGGGGCGCGGACGCCGCCCGTCCGCTGCATTACATCCTCGTCTTCGTATACAGCTTCAAAGTTTTCACTAATGTTTTCACAGGTGAGCAGACCTTGACGACCTTGGTGGTCTACCAGTCTAACCTATCGCCATCTTCACACACAGCATCTGGAGGGAAAAGGATTAGTCGCGTACTGCGCGGTTTCAGAGATGTTTCCTCCCACGAACACTCAGGTTGTGGAATGAGCTCTCTGCCGAGGTTTTCCCGAAAGACTACAGCATGGTGTTCTTTAAAAGGGGGGTAAAAAGGTTTCTTCAGGGTCGGCAACGCGCGCGTAATACCTCGGGTATTGCAGGTGTTCATAGGCTACGGTAACCACTTACCATCATGTGGGCCGTAAGCTTGTTTGCCATCTCAGTGGTATAAAAAAAGGATTGTTAGTAATGAGATCTAACAGGCTTATTATGGGGAGAAAGGTATTGTTAGTGATGGGGTCTAATAAGCCCATTGTTAGCAATATACCTGATCAGGTTGATGTCCAAGCAGTTCCCCCTGGAAACCGTCGTGGTTAATTTTAGATGATTTTATCACAATTGGCCAACTGACCTGCTTCCTCCTCACCTATCATCCCTCGCTGATGCCTCGCCAGTGTATACCGATAGCGCGGGTGGGGTTACCATTCCATTATCACCCTTTAAAAAAAGTCTTTGGTACTAGTTTACCGATTTTAAGGATTCTTTTTTACATCAAAACTAAAGTGTTTATTTTTATAGAAACAATTTTTATCATTTCAGTACTGTACGAGTGTCCGACGCCGGTTACAATAGTCACGCTGCTACTGTGCAACTGCGCGAAATATGTGACTAGCTTCCACGCGATTCTACTCTTTAGAGGACAGATACTGTGAACCAAACACTTGTTTACATATCACAGAATATTTATTTGAAAATATATATATATATATATATATATATATATATATATATATATATATATATATATATATATATAACCTTACTAATGTACAATCTTTTATTTTACAGTCTCTAAGAATACATTTGATAGCAAGAAGCATAAAACAAGGAGCCCACGATTGACGCCAATAAATTGTTCTTTTTTTTTTAACACATCACAACTAGTAAGCGAAACAAACTCACAATTGTACAATATCTCTTTCTATCTTTGAAAAATCTGCTTCGACTTTGCGTCCAATACAAAATGCATTTTGTTATTATGCTTCTTGTCCTATAACATTACAGATACGAAGTATATAAATTAAATAAAAAAAAAAAAAATGGACAGAAATGACTTAACTACTACTAATACATGAAATAAACAGTTGTACAAATAAATGTTAACAAAAGTGTTGAGAATAATTTAAAATAATAATTGTACTGACATGGATAAATACTTAGATACGTTCTTGTTTAACTTTTTTTTTTTAATTTAAAAAAAATAGGATCCAGTATAGATGAATTGTTAAATTTTTTTTTTTCCAACAAATTGGGTAGTTTCGACATGGTTTGTATATGTCTTTTGGTAACGGACTGTCTTTTGGTATTTAATATTGTAAACATTTAAAAAAATAGTAACCTTTTTAGGAACAAGAAACTTTTTACGCCTTTTTCATGTAGTAACTAGAATGTTAGTAACCACAATAATTTAATGTTAATTCGATTATTACATAATTTTTTTAATGATAAAACACAATTACAATCAACTACAAAGAATTTTATATTACTTTTATATCTATAAAAAAAAAACACGCCAAATATACAGAGATGTGGTGTGACATTTAAAACAAAATCAGATAAATCATTCAGTCTTTGGTTAAATTGAGCTCAAACGAAATAATATCATCTAAAGAAATACTATTATATTGTCCATCAATATAATTAAAAAGCTGTCGAGTTTATAAGAAAACATATTAATCCAAAAATTCTCTGAGCTAGTGTGAATTTTCCAAGTTTTTTTCTGAATAAGTGCATTATTACACTATCAAATACACTATAGGATCGTACTTTTGACTTTTCGAGTACCACGGTCCAATGATATACTCAATTTAAAATCCATTGTATATCAGTCGTTGCTTCTATAGGCTTAGGAACATTTTACTGAGATCGCTTTTTGTTTCTACCGTTTTTTATGATTCTAAATATATTTGACAGTGTAATCCTAGGCTAATTTTAGGCTTCCTTCACACTAGCGGGTTTACAGAATATGTTTATATACTATTATACTGTGTGCTACACATGATTTATGTAATTGTCCATCCACAACCATTGTCAACCATCGCTGGGCACAGGACTACCCATAGGAGAAGAAAGTTAGTACTACCTACTTTATGAATTCATTTGTTTGTATGTCTGTAATTTACCATATTACACTAAAATATAATTTATTAATTAAACCGCCATCGTATCTCTGCACATCGTGAAGGTTGACTGGTAGAGAATGCCAATAGCATTAAGTTCGCATTTTGGACCATATTTATTGGTGAATAAAGTTTAAATAAATACACACTTTTACGAATACCAAGCCAAGCAGCTCGGTAAGATTGATAACTCTAATCGCCAAAGGTAGGTCTATCTAAATTGGTTTCATATTATTTAAAAAAAAAAACTAATATTTTGTTTGTGTTGCAAAATTAGAAATGTACATGACACATTTTAAGAAAAATATACCAAACTATACTTATATAATAGTACATTACTGCAGCGGCCAGCAACTGAGGCATTGATGGACGAACGTGCAAATGTGGGCCGAAGCGTTGCCGAGGCACACTTACGTGAGTCCATCAATGCCTAGTTGTGACCAAGGATTGTATAGTACCTTTCTCAAACAATGCGCGAAAATCAAAAACAATTTTACTTTTTAAGTTCAATGACGAATAACGAATAATAATAATTTTCACGCGCCATAATGTTCCTTTTTTTTTTTCAATAAACAGCTTTTTATTTGCAAGCTAGTTCGAAATTTAAATAAAATGTTTTACTAGTTATCTCCTTGGTAGCCATGTTTCGAAGTAAAAGGTCATTCCATTTTTAAATTACAGGACAGATATGAGTTTACATAGTAATTTATCTGGCCGCAAAACGCGACAGATATGGATTTTCATACAACTTTTGCCGGCCGCTACCCGCATGTATCTGGCCAGTAGGGCAATTTTGATTTATCTCGAAGAAGATTGTCAAAATAATGCTCACATTTCCAAGCATGTTTGAGAAATAAATATTTCACTATAACAAGTTTGCAGACATGATACTATATTTTTATTAATATATACATCTATAATTACATAATAATTATGTCAATCTTAAGGCAATTAAACAGATGTCGATAGTTCTGTCACATGGCTTTTATTATGTTAAATATCTGTATAAAGCAAGTAAGTGGTTAATTACATTTCAAAACCTATGGCTTTACATATGTAGAGTAACTTTAACAATATGAGGCTTTAGGTTCATGTCTTTTACAAAATATACCTACTCATTTTTACAAAAAGATATACAACATTTGTCAAAAAAGTTTGTGCAGTAAAATTTTACCAATACGAATTTATAAGAATACACAAAAAGTTGATATTAAAGTAAATATATTAGCAATGATTAATGTAGCTATCGCTTGTTATTTAAAAATCAACTTTTCGATTTAGTCACGAAAATTTACAGGCCAGAAAAATACTTAGAACAACAAAAAATAGTGACTGATCGATAAAAAAAAGTGTAGAAAATATCTCATTTGACTGCAGTGTCAAAACTGCTGGAGCACTGTCCAATGTACCAAATTAAAGTCGGCATTAGAGGTCCAAATTTTAAAAATCGCCACCATGGTTTTGCAACTGATACGTTATAAAATAAAAACAACTTTTAACTAAAACTTGGGACATTGGTAATGACGTAAATACTATCATTAGAAGACGTATTTAGTATCATAACACTAATGGATCCATATTCACAAATACTTATCAATCTGGCTGCTTACAATTAAGATAATACAGTTTTTTTTTTATTGTAAAAAAAAAACAATTATAGTTGTAAAACAATTTTTTTTATATTCTAATTATAAATAATAGAGTAAATGTACACAGACGTATAAAAAATGTGAGACTTTAACCATTATTACAGTTGCTTACATTTCACTGCTGAACATAATACTGTAACAAGAAACCACATCAGGACTATTATCTTATCGATTTCTTGCAATATCTAAGAAAGTATTTATTTATTTATTTATTTCTCTCAAAAAAGGCCAACATAATAAAATATACAGCTATATAGGTTACAATTTAAAAACAATCTTTGTGAGAGACTGGTGTCGGTACTAGGTTTACCAGCTTTACAGTATCTTCATCCATATACATACAGGCTGAAATTGAATTTAGAATCCTCTGAAAGTATTTTACTCATAAATTGAACATTTTTTCTCAAAAAACTTGGGGAAAAATGAACAAAAAATACACTTACACTATTGTAACTCATGTGCAGAATTCCAGTTAAAATAGGAGACTAAAACATATTTAGTTTTTTTGAAAAAAGTCTTCAATATCACTGAAATTGAAAGAACACAATAATTTTGGTTCAGCCTGTAGTGGAAAATCGCTCCACACTGAATTGCATGTATGGAATGTTCACTTAAGAATTGTGTTTCATTTTGGTTATTGATTATTTTGTTAAATAATCAATTTTTGTTAATCTAGCTCAACAGATTAGCTTGCTGTAAACTTCTCTTAGACTAGCTGATCTTTTTTTTTTTTATTCAGATAAAAACTACTCTTGCATTGGAGCAAAAAATAAACATTTATATAATTTCGTAAAAAATTTGTGGTTTCGGATTACAGCATTAACGAATATCGTGAAACGGGATTTTATCTTTCTTTTCATTTAAGAATTTCCTCTTGCCGGTGCACTAATTTATGTCTTTTTCCAGCCAGCTCTATCCCAGGCCATATCCTTGACCTCCTTATACGACATGACACCTAGTATTTCCTTTATCTGTCCCATGTAATTATTCCTCGGTCTTCCCCTTCCTCTTTTGTCCTCTACTTTCCCTTCCACTATACCCTTTAAAAAATCGTCATGTCGTATAAGGGGGCCCAGCAATTTGTCTCTTCTATTCTCTATTTTCATATAATGATATAAATTAATGCTAGTTATTTTATTATTGTGTTATTTACTCTATTATTTGAAATATACAATTATTGAATTATAGCGTAATATTACATTTATTACAATAGGCATTTTATTTATAGATTCACAACATATGTAGTCCTTTCTGAAATGTTATTCCATAATGTGTAAAATGTGATTTGAGTATAACATTTAAGAATGAAACAATCAATACTGAAAAATCATTCCCATAAATTACTCGTCACTGAAATTCTTACCAAAGACCTGAAAAAAGGATCAAGAACGGATATTATTTTATATTATCAGAGAGTTGCAGAATAACCTTAATCTTATTCATAAAAACTGAAACTTACTAATGAGGTCTTAATAGCCCCATCGCTAGTAATACACCCTGTCAGATCAACCTCCAAGCGAATCCCCCTGGAAACAATCATGGTTAATTCTTGTGGGGTTCTTCACGATGGGCTAACTGACCTGCTTTCATCCTAACCTATCATGTATCACTGTTGCCTTGCCAATGTATACCGATAGCATAGGCAGGGTTACCATACCATTATCATCCATAAAAAAGAAACATCATCCTGAGCGAACAGAAGTACAATATGATCCACTAATGCAATCAACGAAAAAAAGAATTTTATGCTCTCAATAGTTAGCTGCCTTATGCCCACTCACTTGTCACACTAATATTGAAGGATCCAAGGTGATAGGATGAAGAAGAGAAATAAAAATTTTACTAAAGAGTATTTCAGAAAAGATCCCCATGTCTTTTAATGTTTCTCCCATGAGCCAAGCGTTGATAAATACATTTTGCTAATGTGGTTTAAACTTTTTGTTCTTCCTATTGTACACAGTCAATGTTAAAAATAAAGAAAGTAATTATTATATTTATCTAGTTGTCATTTCAAATTTATTTTAGTGTTTGTTGGCACTTTGATGGAATTTGAGAGTATTTATATTATAAAATCCACCACTTTAACATAAAAATGTACAAGTAGTTTCGTGTTTCATGATATTGTTGTATAATGTAGGCACAAGATCAATAAATTATACAATTTTTTTAAAAGCGATCAATAATAATAATTTGTAAGTAAAATAATTACACATAATTTGAAATAGACCAGACTGTAGTCAGATGCAGACAAAAAACTAGTGTAATTTTCCTCGATATAGGCATTGGTGATGACATCACTGCCCATGAATTACCTACTTGAAAACAGGAAACCGTAATTCTCAATAGTTTTTGTACAAGTATTAGCAATTTACCTTCACATATTGATCAGTGAAGATACATTTAAAAAGAATATTGCTAGAATAAAGTTCCTTATTGGTACATTTAAATAAATAAATACATGAAATTAAACTACCTGGCTCATATATTAATTTATATAACAATACTAACTACACAAATAAATATGATTAATTAAACTATTAAACAACCTATTTTCAAGTTGTTAGAGAGTAAATATTTTGTATTTATTTTGTTCAGTGATAAAAGTTTATCGTGAACCCTACATTGGTACATTTCAATCATATTTGTTATTAAAATATTTGCATTATGTACTTAGAACAATAAGACAATTGATAAGATGTATTTATGTAAATTATCATATTAGAAACTTTAATTTTAAATATTAAGTCACTGAATATTTTGTTCAAACTGTCACACAGTGTTTTGTCTGCTGGTTTAGATTAGACAGAGGTTTGTCCAGAACTAATGTTGTATGTTTGAGATAAATCTAACTAGACGAGTTATAAAATCTCATACATACATAAAAGAAACAATTATTTACAAATTTGGTCTGCTTTTTAAGTTTAATGGTGAAATTTTAATGCCAGATGCCTTACTGCCTATACTGTTGTTTCAAATCACTATTCTAAATAGTTAAACAGTCATTGTAAACCATGGTCTAGGCAGCAGTTCCATGTGTTCTTTTGTGATATAGAAGTTAGCATTTGGAAATTGAGAGAGCATATTAAAACTACATTTATTTATGTAGTAGTGATAGCTATTGGTTACATGGTTTTTGTAAGATGTCCAAACATCACACAAAAATATTGTAACCCATACTTGTCATTACTATGGTAAATGTAAACAGTAGTTAAAACTGCGAGTGTATATTAAGAGTGATAATGCATCAAGTATACCATAAGTGACATACTATATTGTTGTCCACAGTTCTGATCATGTCTTCAAGTTATAGAGCTTCTCAATCAGCTCATTTACCGTTCAATATAAAAAAGAGTATCAAAATTACAATTTTATATTCAGATTAACATGAAATCAATACCACTAAACATGTTAAGGCAAGATGGGCATGCAATTTACATTACCTACGAATAAAGGGCAAAAACAATTCTAACAACTTTAAAATGGGCTCTTAGCTACCAAGGCAACTTCAAGGAGTGAGGGGCGGGTCATCCTGGCCTATCATTACGTCCTCGTACATAACGTCATTGTTTCTTCTCATGTTGATCTTCTGACGTGCATATTCAATTAAATTATACTTTCTTATAACTAGAACGAGGCCACATACGACTAGGGCTAGTGTAAATATAGTGACGACAGCAGCCGTGGTGGTGTGGCGCGGTGGCAAGTAAGAATTGGAAGGTTCACACTCGTCGTCGACTAAAGTAAACTCAGGTAAACATTCGCATCGTCCCGTGCTCTCATTACATATCTTATGCTCCCCAGGGCACGGATGGAGAGCGGTCACGTTGCAGGACAGGATATTGTCTGTTAAAAAGAATAAAGCTCTCGCGTAACCAGTCCAGAATAAATTGATTCAATTAAATAATTGTCGGCTACTTACCAGTGTAAGCGCAATGTATCAAGTTTAATATTATTGCGGCTATGTCGAACGTTTTCAACCCCATGTCTGTAGCCAATGCTTCTCATTCAAATATTCACATCACAAATTGTAACAAAGAGCAAAAATTTATATTTTGAACAGACAATGATTCTTCAGTTCTACGAATCTTGATCTTGAAAAGATCACGAAACAAAACAACGTCACGTCAGATCTCTTGTCGCTGTGAACTGTCACGGTTGTCAATTGTCAAATGCGTTTAGTTACTTCAATTAACCAGAGCACAGAATATCTAACACATATATTTTACTTAAGCATAAAATAAATAATATGCATAATAATAATATGCAAGACAGAACGCTGTAACTGCGCCTTTGTCTTCTAAGTAGTAAATTTATTTTTAGATGAATGCGTGTTTGTTTTAATTTTTTATTCAGTTTACTTACATTAGTACCATAGATTATAAAGGACATAGTAGACTTAGATTATACAGATAGAATGTCTCCATACAAATGCTTCGAGAAAAGTGGATCTATTTTTTCATACAATTTTGCATGATAAATAGTTATGAGTAACTTAATAACATCTATATTTTTTTCGTTTTATAAATTCTGCGCCTTTTTAATGCGCAAAATCTTATTTTATTTATTAAATATAATATTTCACTTATTAAACCTTTTACTTAGCTTTGACTATTAAAGACCCGTAGACAGAGGAATCCATCTAGGTGACCTTAGCGTAAACCCTACTTATGGTACTTAAACTACCGTGGTAGCAGCTTTGCTTGCCTATTAATTTTTTAGAAACAGTACAATATTCAAATAATAGCGAAATACAAATAAAAAAAAAAAAAATTATTAATCCATAAAATTTCTTTCTACGCAAATATCATTTATTGGAATCCCGTCTGGTTTAATCTACAAGGGCCCCACATGTACTACTTTATTTTCATTAATAAAAAAAAAATATCATGATAGAAACAAAACATCCTAAAATAGTAGCTTTGTTGTTACCGAATGCACTTTATGCCGTGCCATATATATAAAAAAAAATAGTATCAAAAATAGCATTTCTGTTTTTTTTTTTTTTATTAAAAACAATTAGGATGTTGACTATAAATCTTCTTACTTCTGATCTATCTGAAGATGTTACTTTGAAATACAAAAGTGCAATTTTTATAACACATTTATTTTTATTATTATTTTATTGTTAAAATTCATTTAAGTAAGTACATATTTTGTTTTAATTGTAAAAATAACTAGATCGCTTATAATTGACTCTTAATCACGAGTATTTATTACGTTAAAAATATGTTTAAGTCAATCCAGTTATTTTTAAAATACATTTAAGACAACACTTACTTTCTAGCTAGCTATATAAAATAATTTAAAAAAAATCATAATTGCGTTATAGCAATAAATTCAATAAGTAACAATTATAGAAATTCAGACTAATATCTATTCAGTCTAAAATTTATAAAATTATTTTTAATATTATTTTTCTATGTATTTAAATTAGAAATTATATTCTTCACCGGAACCGTATGTGTATTTTTCTGGTAGTGTATAGTCCCTGACATCGTGGCCGTGAGCCTCGGTCCCTCCATTGCCGTCAGGAGCGCCTTCCCTGAAAATAATATCATTTAATATAAAGTATTGGAAACTAGTACGATACCCTGTCAAGCCGCGGGGAAAGGGATTGTTAGTAATGTAGACTGAGAATCCCATTGCTAGCATTATACCCAACCAGATCGACCTCCTCGCGGTTGCCCCTGGAAACTATTATGATTAATTCCTGATGAATTCATCATGATGGACTAACTGGCCTGTTTTCATTCTCATCTATCACCCTTCACTGGTGCTCCGCCAGCGTATCCCGTTAGCGCAGGCGGGGTTACCATATCATTTTCACCCATCAAAAAAAAAACCCTGTCAAGCCAACTTCAACAGTCTCGCCTGGAAGCCATTGTAGTTAGTTTAAATGTCTGGTGGATTCGCTACGACTGTTTGACCTAACCACATTTTTAATTTATCATCACTCACTGATATTCCGCTAGTCTTTTTATATAATATATATGACGAAAATCCATATAGATCTCGCAGTCAGCACGAGTCTAAGTTTTCTTATTTCCGAAGACGTAAATAAAAGAACAGGTCTTTATTAATAAGAAAGAAAGAATAATAGAATTGCACGTGAAATAATGATACAGACCTGATAATAATCAAATGTATTAACATAACTCTCTTTATCAACTGACGTCAAAAACAAAGAGATTCTCAATTCGATTGTATTGTGTTTTTATATTTGTTACCTCATAACTCCGTCTGTTTTGAATAAATTTGAAAAATTATTTTTTATCTGAAAGGATACATTCACACTTTGATTCTATAGATTTTTTCAAAATCGGCCCAGCAGTTTAGTTTTTAAATCAAATTAACTTGTTTTACCACAATAGAAGTCGATTTATTTTGTGTTTATTTTTTTTAGAATTAGATTTATCGTCAGGTATTTAATTTATTATCGATGAAAATCTTAGATTATTACGAATTATATTAAAATGACTTACTTCAAATCCTCATGTTCTACTTCTGGTCTGCCCTCCTCAAATTGTTCTATTTCTTCGACATCATCTGGACGCCTGCGAGGTTTGCGATTCCGAACTGCAATAAAAACACACACACATAGTCAACTAGAAACGATTATGTAAAAATAGTTTAAAATTAGATCATTATTTTTCACTTTTTAATTGCACATTAATTGTAACGACGTCATATATGTAATACCATTGCTTACCCTAACACGACAACCAGTAGTTACAAACATCTTGAGCTTACACTACAAGGTTTTCTATTAGATCCCCAATAAAAGCATATAATATACGTAATTCAATTTATTATTTCCATACTGGCCAATTATTTCTAATTAATTTAAATGTCAGCCAAATGTCCAATTTAAGAATCGCCTAATGAATTTTAACGGTCTCCTAATAAATTTCGCTGACCGTTCCTCGGGTTCACCTTTCTGTTCATCCCTGTGGCTGTACGCGCCATCTTGTTCCTGTTCATCCCTGTGACTATACGCGCCATCTTGTTCCTTTCCGTCTAATCCGAATGAATCTTGTTTCTCAAACTCGTAATTGTCACCGGCTTTCTTGTGATACGAGTCGAAATGCTGATAACCCTTTTTCCCGCCGCCCGACTTCTTTCTGGAATATCCGATCTCACCGTCACCTTCGTTTTCATATGATTTGTGATAATCTTGTGGCTGTGAATGAAAAATATTATTGAAAGATTGTTAATTGTAAGTAAATTTTAAGTAATAATATTTAATAGGATTATATATTTTACCATATTATTATATTGTTATTATATTTTACCATAGGATTTTCAAATCAATATACATTTTTAATAATCGTATTTTCGGGTAGCAATATTTTATATTGACAATAAAATAAATAAAAAATAAAAAAAAAAAACAAGGGCAAGGTCATGACAAATTAATAATGTGTAACAGAAAGGCAAACTTTCTTTTAAGTAAAACGATCGAAGCATGAAAATAATGTTTCAAATTGTGTAAATATATGAACTATGTATTGTGAAATATTAATTTATTATTAAATATTAGCAAAATATGAGAGAACAAAGCAATAACTATCATCTCACCGCTGCAGCTCTTGTTTCCCTTATGTAGGAGCCAACTGACATTGTATCATCGGCTACCTCTAAATCTTGCAATGTCGTTGCTGGCTTCGCAGCGACCACATGCAACACAGCCAGTACTATCGGCACAAATTTGAGTGCCATTATGAAATTGTCTGAAAGTAAAAAAACTTTAATTAGAAAATTCGGTAAAAAGAAAAACGAATCATAGTCCAACGTAGTCCTTTTGGTTTGTCACCTTACGTTAGCCGAGCAAAAACCGTTGCCTTTTGACGTTGGGTTCCAACTCTACACAATAATTCAAGGCTTGTACTTTATATAACTTTGATTGCAGCCGGCTTGGTCTTTCACAATGGCCAGCAGTCAACTGACACTTGTTAATACTTCTTCGCTCAATTGCCTTCGCTATTTGGTTTCAGCATTTAAGTTCAATTTTTTTGTATCTTATTGCGTCAGTTATATCCGATCTAATTTCCATCAGCTTGTTTCGATAAACCGAATTCGCCGTAAAATAGGTAAATCACATTGACTTTAGATTTTTTATTACAAAATTAAGAATCAAAGATTTACCTTTGATTAAAATTTTATTAAGAGAAAATCTATTATTTGACTGATGTCTATAAATCGAGTAGTGTCGACAAATTAACTGTATTGTTCTAGACTTGAGATGATTTAGAAATATTGACTGTTAGTTTTTTTTTGACAATGAAAATGTTACGCCGATTAACTGGAAAAATTGGTTTGGAAACGATTGCCGAAATGGCATGTTCTGGAGGTCACAATAAAAAGTCGCGGTTGCGGATGCACTACTTAAACAGTAAAGCTATCGGAAGCAAGGTCCGATGGAATATTTTTATGAAAAAATTCATAAAAAAAATATTTCCTCATAGTGTTCCTCATGTTATTGGAATATGTGTTACCTCTCTTTTAAGATGAGCTCAGGAATGCCAAATTTGGAAATCAAATGGGTATCGACCATCATCTCCAGAATCAAATTCTCCAAGATCCTATACCGAGCTGCCCGGTATAGTCGTGATAGTATAGCTTCCACCATGTACATATTTTCTTATCTTTATATCAGTATAAACTGTATATTTTTTTTTTTATTTTTCCATTAGTACAAATATGTGTACATGGCGGACTTAATGCTAAAAGCATTCTCTCCCAGTCAACCATAGGGAAGTGTCAGAATACTCGAATGCAGTACTACTAATTATTGATATACATACATACTAAAATATACATAGTGTATTATTATTATAGTGTATTAATATACATTGTGTGTTATTATTATTTCAATATAAATATTTTATTCGTAATTTTGATCATTAGTTCATTTTATTAATATCTTTGTTCATTTAATAACATGTATTAATTTAATATTACTCAAACACAATACTGTGGTTGGCTCTAAATGTAAGAACAGTTAGACCTAATCCACTAGTGTATTGTATTGAAATGCTTCGCTGTATCTTATGTCGGTAATCTAATCAATAAATAATTGTTTAAATATACAATTTACCACTTTAATATATACATATTTTATTGTAGTAAAATATATAGCGACCGCCTAGTAGATGGGTATATAGGGGAAATTTATAATGCATTTAAAATTAGGTCTATGGGTGCAAGTAAAATTGGTCAAGTGCAAACGCCTCTATTGTAATCAAATAATTTATATGTATGAAAATTCTTGTAGTACTTTGTTCAATTGTATTTATTATACAGTTGTTAGTTACACAAAGACAACTTTTATAGGGAGAGAGACAGAGAGAGATCTGTACGTATAGATGGAATATTGTTATGACGACCAGACGGAGGGAGACTTTGTACAAAAGTAGATTGCTTGGGTACCTCTGTCCCATTCGTGTTTCTACCGTGAAGCAGTGGTGTTTTCATGGCTGTGTTTCGGTTTGAAGGGTGGGATATGGCGTGAATTTACAGGGTACAGAGGAATAACACCCGAGTCCTCAGGAATGGCAACGCATGGGGGGTACCATGGGCGAAACAGTATACTCTGTTATGTTCATGGTACTGCTCATGTCTATAGGCGACGGTTACCACTTTCCATCAGGTGGGCCGTCAGCTTGTTTACCATTCTAAGTTGTATAAAAAAAAAAAAACGAAAACGACGTTCTTGATTTGACTAAATGCTTCGGCAAAGCAAGTATTGTCTAGGCCAATTATAGCTATCACGTTGTATTTGTTTAAATTAAAATACTATTTTAGTTTACGTATAGATATTTATTAGCAGCCATCATTAAGCTGTCAGATTATAATTTTTCTGTTTTTTTTTTAATAATTCATCATCCATTTTCAACTTTTGTCAACTTGCGTGTAAGCTGTATATACTGCGACGAAATGTGCTGGCGCTGATTTCAATTTATGCTTTTTCTCTGTTTTTAGTGTATTGTCTGTAGAAGCAATTGCTGGGTCTTTTCCAGTTGCAAAAGTATAAGTATCAGTAACTTTCTCTTCTTTTATTTCTTTGACCGCTTCTGGGAATGCTTCATAGAACAATTGCCACTCCTTTTTCAGTTGCAGTTCTTCTAGTGATTTTGCCCTGAAATGTTAAGTTCTATTTTTGGTAATACATTCCATAAATTTAAAAAACGTAGAAAGGATGTTTACTTAGAGTTGGTAACGCGTACGTAATACCCCTAGTATTGCAACCGTTCATAGACTACGGTAACCGATTACCATCATGTGGGCTGCGTGCTTGTTTTGCCAGTAGCTTCCACGCTTGGCAGGCCGATTGCCAACTTAGAAAGACAATTATTAATATACACGAGTATGTATTTAATAAAATGTATGTAGGTAGTAGGCGTGTTGAGATACTTAGGAGTAAAGAGTTCATATATTGGCTTTGTGTAAATGAAGTCTTAAGTGCGAACCACAAGTGGAACAACTTAAAGAAACAAACGTGATTTACATATTCTAGGCTGTATCAGCAGATGTTTGTTGTCTGATTTCTCATAAGAGACGATGTCCTAATTTTAGGATCAGGAAGTTAGTGCGATTGTGTAACATTTATTATTATTTTAAACATGTCTCGTTTAGTAAACGAGACATATTTACAAGACGTTTTCAAACTATATGCCCATGACTGATTAGTGCACAATATTAAATGAAACCTAATTATAGTAAAAAGAAAGATGAAAAGAAAGTAAATAGAAATAAAGACATATATTTATTCTAGTAAATTTCGATTTAGGCATTTTTTATGACTCTTCCGCCTACTCGGAACGCAGCAAAGTAGAATGAACCAGAAACTCAGGTGTTACTTCTTTCAAAAAGTTGAATTATATAAATTATGTATACAAAGTATTAAGCAGTATTAAATCATAAAATTTAAGATATAATAAGAACAAATTAATATAATAAATCAGTTGCAGTGACCACAGCACACCAGTCCCTACAAGCAGCACCCTTTTACAAGTATGACGAATGGGGAGGAAAAGGATTGTTAGCAATGGAGTTTGACAGCCCCATTGCTAGCAATATATCTTATTAGGTCGACCTCCACGTGGTTCCCCCTGGAAACCATCGTGGCTAATTCTAGTTGAATTCGTCACGATGGGCTAACTGACCTACTTCAACCTCACCTATCATTCTTTACTGGTGCCCCGCCAGTGTATACCGATAGCGCGGGTGGGGTTACCATTCCATTATCATCATTCCATTTAAAAAAAAAAAGTATGACGGATGAACCAGTCATCATTGCGCTCAACTATATTTTAGAGAAATCAATAACACGGCCCACCATACTACCAAATGTCTAGACATTTTTGTGAGCATGACTTACTCAAGACACTCAACTACATTGTAGCTAAATTGAAATAATACTACATACGACTTACAGATTATCGAGACTAGATATTTCATACTAACACATTATTAGCAGTTACATCAAAACGTATAAGAGGGAAGCCGACATCTTTGCCTCTTTGTATTGCGTTCTTGGAGAGCATGTGGACAATTTCAATACTCTTCGAACTATCTGGTGGGACGACTAGGATTACCTGAGAAACACATATGTATATAATCAGTATACGTCCAATTTGGTAAGGCTTTAGCTATGAGCTAAAATATTCGAAATATAAAATTAGTACCTTTGCCATTTGATACAATGTGCATGTAAGTAACATACGAAAATGTTTTTAATGAACAAATTATGCGCACTATACTAATTTAAACCATACCAATGTCAAATACCTCAAGAGATTGTTATACCATATTATTGTTTTTGTTAATTAGCACGCTGTAATTAGACAGTAATTTTAATATTAAATCTTATCAGTGTAACAATTGCTGGGAGACCAAATAAAGATAAAATAAAAATATACTAAAATCAATCAAATCTCTTTAATTAGAATGGAAGCCAAAGTCAAGATAAATCGAAGAGAGAAAGCATGACTTATATGAAAAACTGGTAAATATAATATCAAATCGATGTCTAAAAACAGTATCTTTTTCACAATTTTCTTTTACCCATCCGCTAAAAGGAGCAGATATACGTATACCTTTTTTTTTTTTAACCTAACCATATAGTGGGAAGGAGAAAGGGATTGTTAGTAATGGAGACTGAGAATGCCATTGCTAGCAATATACCCAACCAGGTCGACCTCCTCGCGGTCCCCCTGGAAACTATCATGGTTAACTCCTGATGAATTCATCATGATGGGCTAACTGGCCCGATTTCATCCTCATCGTTTCATCTTTCACTGGTGCCCCATCATTATAAACTGTTAGCGCAGACGGGTGTATCATTCTATCTTCATCCATTAAAATCATATTGCAGTAATCTATGAATACCTGCAGAATATTATGTACACGGTATTTGTCGTGCAGAGCTGGTGTGCGCAGACAATGTGCCGTGAAGTGCATGAAGTGACGGGAGCGCGAACATTGTACGCAGCGCGCCCACTGCTCCAGCACCGCGGCGTCCCAGGTGCACACCGCTGTGCTCAGCGCTAACCCGCGAATCGTCGACCAGCCACGACGGGTTTCTTGCTGCTCGACCAGCATAGAATGTCCTGCATGCCATTTAAATTTAATTTAACTGCTTAGTACGTTTTTGATAGAAGAAACAGTATAGTTTAACATAGGTTTAACATATTATATTAACCTAATTAGGAGCCCAGTTCCAAAACCATAATTTCTGTACCCTATAAAAACTATAAAAATATAATAAATATTAGTTGATAAACTACAGTTATGTTTTTTTTTACGAATAAATCTCATTTAATTTCATTGTCCACAAACGTAATATTTTTATATGACATAAAACGGAAAATAAGTCGACCGGCTAATCTGATGGGAAATAGCCTTATATGAGCCTTAGACATCGAAGAGTAGCATTATTATTCCTGAGTAAAGAATCGTTTTTCTCCTTTGTACTTTTGTTTACTTTTGTACAATTATTCCTGTCTTTTTTTTTATGCAACTTAGAATGGCAAACAATCTGACGGCTCACCTGATGGAAAGTAGTAACCGTCGCCTATAGACATGAGTCTATAGAACCGTCGCCTATAGGACGAGTACCATGGACATAACAGAGTAGAATGTTTCGCCCATGATACCCCCTATGCGTTGCCATTCCTGAGGACTCAGGTGTTATTCCTCTGTACCCAGTAAATTCACGCCATATCCCACCCTTCAAACCGAAACGCAGCCATGCAAACACAACTGCTTCACGGTTGAAACACGAATGGGATAGAGGCACCCAAGCAATCGACTTTTGTACAATAGATTGCTATAGGGAACGGTCCCGAGATACTTGTATCCACTGACTTTCTATAATGTATTTGAGGTCGTCGCTACATCTAGTGGGTCTCGTTTGACACTGCATTTACTTGTACGGGGTCGTCACTCAAGAACCTTTCTTCCCCATCGGTTGTTGCTTCGATAGGCTCACCACTTACTATATTTTACTGAGCATAATAAAATTTAAATATATTTAGCGAGATTATGTCAAGTGTTACCTACATTCTCCACAACGGTAATAGTTACCTCTGACTACCCCATAAGGTTTTTTTTATGGCTGAAAATGGTGTGGTGACCACGCCTGCGCTGTCGGTATATACGAAGATGAAAAGGCACGTCAGTTAAGTTAGCCTATCGTAACGAATTCAACGATAAATTAATCACGATAATTTCCAGAGGGAACATCGTGGAGGTCGACCTGATAGGGTATATTGATAGCAATGGGGACTAACCCTCTCATTATTAATAATCCTTATGGGGAGGGGCCATAAGGATTTGCAGCCATGAGGATTATTTATAATTATAAACAAATACCTTGTGCAAGTGCTCTAGCAACGTAATCGCAGAGAACAAGGTGCGACGCGCTAGGTGGCGGCACTAGGCCCGGCCATGCGACACGCGCGTGCTCGCGTACGAAGCGCAACACGCGCGGCACGTCTGATGCACGTGCTCGCCGCACGCGCAGTCTCTCTTCATTCTCGGTGCCCTGCACCTGGTTACAGTCACAAATTGAGTAACAAGTACAGAGTCAAAAGGAAATAAATACTAAAAGAACCGTTACTAGGTAAAAAAAAAGCTAGAGCTCGAAGGCCTAACTATGTTTTACTGCTGATATCTGTCGTCTGGTTATGGCACAGAATGGGCTTGTTCCTTGTTCATGGGTGTCGTAACAGAAGATTAAGGGAAATTAATGGCTCAGGAGTGAGCAGCTATGCTCCTCTTAAAATACCACCAAAGTTTAAGTGCGGTTGCCAACTCGCCTGCCAAGCGAGACCACCACTGGCACCCCAATCTCCCCCTTCCCCTATCTATATTCGTCGATATAGTGTTTCGGTTTGAAGGGTGGAATATGGCAGTGAATTTACTGGGTACAGAGGAATAACACCTGAGTCCTCAGGAATGGCAACGCATGGGGTATCGTGGGCGAAACAGTATACTCTGTTATGTTCATGGTACTGCTCATGTCTATAGGCGACGGTTACCACTTTCCATCAAGTGAGCCGTCAGCTTGGCTACCATTCTAGTTCCAAAAAAAAAATTTGTACACACATATTTGTCACGCCTAACAAACATTTCATGCTCTTTTTTTTATAAAATTTCTAGAAATCAATTTTGTTTTTTTTGGATTATCATGTCATAGAGGGTCTCTGAGCGAATTAATTGGACAACTAAAGTAACAGAAGTCAAAACAGATAACTAATTGATCATTTTTAACTTACCACTACGTGTTTGGTGGTCGTATCTGGTTTTGGTGTATCGGCAAAATTTCGTTTAAGTGGATTATTTATGAAACTGAAAAAGTTACAGGACTTGGAGGTCCGTCCAGAGAGGCATTTGAAAAAACTGACGGCAGCGTTCATAGTGGAACACCAGGGAATTATTCAGGTTTCATAACAGATACATATATTTAGGTATTTCTCCGGTTAATCATGGCTGCGGCTTGATATTTTAAATTTATTAAAAAAATCCCAAAATATAATGTGATGACATATTGACGGCAACTTTGACGATTGTAAATTATGTTTGTAATAATTATTTTTTCTTATTTTGAAAGTTAAGTAACTGGCCATTTTAATTTGAGTATTAATTTTGTAAACAGTTTTGTAGTACTAAAGACTTAAAAGATTTATACATACCAGAGAGAGACTTTGTACAAAAGTCGTTTGCTTGGACACCTCTATCCCATTCGTGTTTCTACCGTGAAGCAGTTGTGTTTGCATAGCTGTGTTTCGGTTTGAAAGGTGGGATATGGCAGTACATTTATAGGGTACAGAGAAATAACACCTGAGTCCTCAGGAATGACAACGCATGGGGAGTATCATGGGCGAAACAGTATACTCTGTTGTGCCTGTCCATGGTACTGCTCATGTCTATAGGCGACGGTTATCAATTTCTTTCAGGTGGGCGTCAGCTTGTATAGCAATCTAAGTTGCATAAAAAAATAGAAAATTTGTATTATTATTGTTATTTTTTAGAAAGACAAAATTGAAATTTCTAAGAAACTATTATACTAATGATTTTTTTTTGATATAATGTGAAAGAAGTAATACCAATGTCATAAGTCACTTTGACATCATAAATAGTAATATAACTCAATTAAATAAGAAAAAAATCCTAGTGAAAGAATATAAAAATTATAATTAGTAAATTTCGAGTAAGCATGACGTGATTTCCAAAGAATACGGCACTATGAATTGCCTGAAAATCATAAAGTGTGGTGCTCTTTTATCCAATATCTCCCACTGTAATGTCAATAACCAGATGAGGTTCTACAGAAACCCCTCAATTTGTAATATCTGTCTATATCCACAAGGCAAAAAACCAGTTCGTATTTTAAAGTTACAGCTTTAACTTAATGATACGTCTCAGTTATAGACATTTATCATGGTGTATGCCAAAGACTGGCTGTGTTGTCTCGGCATAGAATAGGTCACTTCTTCCTTTTCCGTGGATGTGGCGACTAAGGGAGGGCGAGAAATGGGCAGCAGCGTCTCTCTTAAAACATCTCTAAAGCCTAACTGCGGTTACCAATCCACCTGCCAAGCATGGCAACTACTGGCACAAGGGGAGGCTTATATTCAGTAGTGAACAATAAAGGTTTATATGACGATGATGCTAAAGATTGTAGCTGGACAGTACTTTGTATATCTTTTTTTTTATACAACTTAGAACGGCAAATAAGCTGACGGTCCACCTGATGGAAAGTTATAACCGTCGCCTATAGACATGAGCAGTACCATGGACATAACAGAGTATACTGTTTCGCCCATGATACCCCCCATGCGTTGCCATTCCTGAGGACTCGGGTGTTATTCCTCTGTACCTAGTAAATTCACGCCATATCCCACCCTTCAAACCAAAACACAGCCATGCAAACACAACTGCTTCACGGTTGAAACACGAATGAGACAGAGATACACAAGCAATCGACTTTTGTACAAAGTCTTCCTCTGGTAATTCTTCTATCTGTTATTATGCCAAGTCCTATGTTCATAAATCAAGAAGACAAGTAACCACAAGTTTTTTTAGGAATTGATTATAAAGTCTTTATTAACAAGTTAAAGGTGCTCGTATTACTTATAGTTCAATCTGTTAGGGATTCCAATACATAATTCTCAGCCCAGTTCTCCAAAATTTCAAATTCCTATTTGTTGGATCATGCAAAAAATAAAGCCGTCATTCGATAGGTTTTCGTGTATAATGAAGATGATTTAGAAACTCTAAGGCGATACGAGTAGCAGATAGTAGTAGCAAGCTGTGAACTAAGCCCTTAGATTGTGAAATAATCAGAATATTTTTCTTCTAGTGTTTTGACATCCGCAACGTGACAATAGATCGTGGCAATAAATGCCACATCAAACACATACGGTCATTCCTCTATCAGCACTACTGGCCGCGAGAGCCCAGTGTCATTGGTCTGTGGATGTCGCTCAACTCCCCCTATTTGGCTGTACTCACTGAGAGATATTCTAGTTCAGGTATACAGATTTTTAAATGATTAAAAACCGGAATTGATATAATCAAAACCGCAAAAGTCGTCTGCTTGGATAATTCTTTCTTATTCGATGTTTTTCCTACTAACAACTGTCCTTGTATGTAATTATATAGCTGTTTCAGTTTATAAATCTACTATTCAAACATTTATAATGTGGAAGTCAGCGAGTATAAAGGCTTAATATGATAATTCCCAGGAATAATGATGCATTATCTCTCGTGATCATCATAGAGTTCGCTCTGAGCATTAACTTGTTTCCCATTGCAACAAAGTACACAGGCTATAAGTCCATCACATAATATTTACCATAGAACAAAATTAACCTACTGCTTCTTTCAGAAATTAAAAAAATGTTCAAATTATTGTTTAGGTGATCGATTGCTGGCTTACGAGCACTTGGCTAGAACGAACGAGAAAAAGCTAGTAGGCGTAACTGTCGCCAACCAGGTGTTTCCGTGGGCCGCTGACGAGCTCGAGGAGTGGGCACATTACACCATTTCCAAGCCTGAAAGGCACCGAATGTATTTCTGTGCGCACTGCTACAGAAGCCCTAACTTATTTAAGAAGTATAATGTCAGTTATATATACGATGTAAGATTTTCTTTTATCTTTCTTAGAGTATTGGATAAGAAGTCAGCTAACGTTTAATTGAGAATAAATTTATAATTTAATTGATTTATAATCACAAAATTTAACATTATAGCTACCTGTTTCAGTATCCACTATAAAAGTGGAAAACAAATATACGACTTGTCTGATTGTAAGTACTGTACTTCTAGATGCGTGTAATAACAGAAAATTCCACATTTATCTGACCCATAGCAAGATCCTTATCAGAGGAAGACTTTGTACAAAACTTTGCTTTGTACAAAGTCTTCCTTGGGTATCTCTGTTCCATTCGTGTTTATACCGTGAAGTAGTTGTATTTCCATGGCTGTGTTTCGGTTTGAAGGGTGGGATATGGCGTGAATTTACAGGGTACAGAGGAATAACACTTAAGTCCTCAGGAATGGCAACGCATGGGCGGTATCATGGGCGAAACAGTATACTCTGTTATGTCAATGGCATTGCTCATGTCTATAGGCGACGGTTACCACGTTCCATCAGGTGGGCCATCAGCTTGTTTGCCAATCTAAGTTGTATAAAAGAAACCTCACTGCCAGCACTATAATTTGTAAGGTGGCCCTTTTCCCTCCCCTTTTCTGTTCCCTCCTGTTCTCTCTGGGAACTGCTGTGTTTAATTGTTGATGAATTTGTCACAATGGGTTAACTAAACTGTTTTAAAATACCCAATTTAGATTCGACCTATTTTAAATTAATCAGGATTTTAAAACCAGGTGGAAGTTCTTGGCACAGCTGCGGAGGTGACGGGCCAGGGAGTAGGGACCTTGTTGCTGAAAACCGCTCTCGAACATGCCAAAGAGCTGCGTCATCCTCTAGTTCAAGTCGTTTCTCTCAATCAATATACGTAAGATCTTATTTGGGTTTTAGTCTATAATATAAATGCTCATAGAAAACAGTAACGCAATAGAATACATCTAAGAATATAAAGTCAGAAAACTAAACTAAAAAGACTTTAAATGTACCTATCAACAACATTTCAACTATTATCCGTCCACTGCTGGACATAGGCCTCCTCCATAGACTGCCATAGGGAACGATCCTGAGCCACCTGCATCTATTGACTCTCTGCAATGCCTTTGAGGTCATCACTCCATCTAGTGGGGGATCGTTCTACACTGCGTATACCCGTACGGGGTTGACATTCAATAAACTCTTCCTGTTTACCATAAGAGTCATAAGAGATGACTAAGAGAATTTATGGTCGAGGAATGGGCAGCAACGTCCTTCTTAAAACATCTGTAAAAGCCTAACTGCGGTTACCAACCCGCCTGCTAAGCGTGGCAAATACTGGCAAAACCCCTCAATGGTGCAACACCATAGATATCATAAAACATATTGTGGTACCAGAGGGAGACTTTGTACAAAAGTCGATTGCTTGGATACCTCTGTCCCATTAGTGTTTCAACCGTGAAGCAGTTGTGTTTGCATGGCTGTGTTTCGGTTTGAAGGGTGGGATATGGCGTGAATTTACAGGGTAATAACACCTGAGTCCTCAGGAATGGCAACTCATGGGGGGTATCATGGGCGAAACAGTATACTCTGTTATGTCCATTGTACTGCTCATGTCTATAGGCGACAGTTACCGTTTTCCATCAGGTGGGTCATCAGCTTGTTTGCCATTCTAAATTGTATAAAAAAAAAAACCTTTTTCTGATACGGACAAGTAACTTAAGAATTTGTTCTAGATCAAGAATCTGCGAAAAGTGCGGCATGAAACGCGAATGGACAATGGATTACACAGAATTCGTCGACGATGCCGGTCGACGTGTCTTCTTCCCTCGCCGTCCGCACCACACCGTGGCTGTATACGTCAAATACAACGACCCTAAGATTGGCGGGATACTTCCTTGCAAGCCTCCTTTTTAGATGGTTTGATATTTTACATGATGGAAATAGTCTAGTCTTAATATAGAATTATTTTACTAGGTACTGTTCATGTCTATAGGCGACAGCAGGCTGGCTGCTCGCTTCGCCCGCTGAGTATGAGCGTAGGCGCTTACCGCATCATCAGGCTCGCGCTAGCCTCGCAGCCGCTCATGACTAAAGATCACGAATTGTTTCCGAAACTAGTTGAACTTTCTTGATCTAATTATACGTAAGTTAAACCGAACTTTTAACAATAATATTCCTTTATGTGGGCCAACCATTGTTTGACATTTTAAGTCACATGCAAATACTAAAATATTAGAAATGCACAGTGAAGTAACTAAAAAAGTAAATTATCGTCATCATTCACTGTATACTGGTAAAAATTGATCTCCCCTATTGCCTGCTATTAATTGTGGTCCTCAAACATCAACGAAATCATCAAGTCATCGGTCTAATTGGGCATTCTACACTAAATTCGAAATGGGGTTACCACACGAAATGCATTCTTCTCCATCCATTGTTGGTCTCTCGTGGTACCTATGCTCTAGTTGGGGATTCTACACTAAAGAGACGGGGTTACCACACCAAAGGCATTTTTCTCCATCCATTGTTGGCCCCTCATGGTATATAATCGGCCATGAAATGCGTATCACATTTCATTCTTGGTAATATCCCTTATAAATGTAAGTTGGACTCCTTTTCTGTACTTACCCTCATTGATGATGATGCAGAAGAGGTGATGACCTCTTCTGCATTTATCACATATCGAAATTTCGATCATAAGAAAAATTAGAACTGCAGATACTATCCTAAATCTATGGGTACGTTAGTTTCTTGGTTTTTGCTTGTTTGTAACACTTTATTGTACAGCAAAGTCTTAAATTACAGGATATAGAGTTCTAGAATGAGTAAAATGGCGGACTTGTCCCATAAAAGGAATTTCTTCCAGTCAACCATTGATAATCTGATAGAAATTGTGAATTGATGGAGACAAAAAAAAATAATAAAAAAAAAATAGTAAAACAATATATCATAATCTTCCTACCCTTATCCCAATCATTTGGGGTCGGTGTAATATGATTTTATCCGTATTACAAAAAGATTTGGTTTTTTAGTTTTACGACCGGCCCCCTGCCTGACGTCAAACCTCTTTGGGAATTAAAATAATATATGTTATTAGTAATTTTAAACTTGAATGTTAGTAAGGAAATATAAAAAAAAAAAAATAACTTGCCAGAAACATAGTCACTATAATCATGTATATACACTTGTATATTAGGTAAATAAAGTATCAATTTTACATTTATTTAACAATAAGTTATAACAAAATAACTTATTTTACATAATATATAACTTTTATACACTTATCGTTTTGTAAATAGATCTATTTTCAAAAACATTGTAAAAAAAAATATTAGAAATAAAAATACTTAGACAATGTAAGTACTACCTTTTATCAATGAATAACATCAAAGATTAAGGGTAGTACTTGCAAAATACATAATTATAGAAATACTGTTAGTTGAAATAATTGTCGTAATGGAATAGTTATAAAATTTATTCAATTGTATTCTGGAAGAATCTCCAAAAATATAATCGACACTTTTAAATAATTCTTTAGGTGTCTTTCGTGACGCGAAAGTGTTTAAGTGTTCACATATTAATATATATTGTTTTGATCCACATATACCTAACTGGCATATAGAAAAACTCATTAAAAACGGTGAGAATCATCCCTTATCAAAGTCAATGTTACACCCATCTTAATACTGAATAAATATATAATGGAATGGTTAAAAAAATTGTTTTTTTTTTCTAATTTTCAAATCAATTATCAATCAGTATATTTATCCATATATTTACAGAAAAAAATATAAACCAAAAATCAATTAAATCGTATTATTATTAAATACCTATTATTAGAAATTATATCTATACTACAAAAATTAATAACAATAATCAGTAATAAGTGATATCTCATTACATAACAGTTTTTTTTTTAATATTAAGTACTTATTTCGTCCATATTGTATTATTCTGAATTTTCATTTGTACTAAAAGATAATGAAAAATTTATATATTTAAGAGTTTGTTATTATTTTGTTATTAGTTTGTTATTATCTTTACCAATTTTTGTAGAAGTCCATAATCAATTTCCTTTAAAACAGTATAATTTTCTCAATTTTTCGACGGTTTCAGATTTTTGTATTTACTTTAAAAAAAAAAAGATTCAATAATATTTAACCATATTAAAGCAAATTTTAAATTACTATAGAATTTTTCATAAGGATCGTCACAAAAAAAAATTCTGTTGGATTTATGTTTTAAACATTTCATTAGTTTAAAATGTAAATTCAACAGTACTTTGTACAATATATTTCAACCAAAACGTTTAAAAAGAGATAAAAAAAAACATCTTATGTTTGCTTAACGTCAAGCAATGGGCCATACGCCAACCAATTTGATACAGACTCTTGCACAAGCAAAAAGAAAATCGACTCGTTTTTTTACCATTTGATTAATTTGTTGCAGTGAACTCGGCAAGTACATTTTCATTGTGAAAATGTAGGACGAACCATGATTGCTCGTGTATACGAAATTTGTATACACACTGTGGATCAATTGAAAGCATGATTGGCGTAAAAAAGAGAAGGCTTCGCAACATGAATAACGTTTAGGCAAATTTAAAAGGTATGTTTGAGTGAAACGAAACTATCTATTGTATAGAATAAGCCATGGAAATAGCAAATACATTATACAATCGTACTAATCTGCAATCAGTTTTACGCTTTCATTAAATATTTTTAACTTTAACAAATAAAAATAATATTGTATGTTGCAATACATTTTGAACGCTTCTTATTTGAGTAAAGTTTCACATGTATTCCTAGTGCTATATTTCTTAAAAATAACTCTCTCTTGTTTTCTTTTTCAAGGCTCTTATTAAGAGCAATAATAAATTGTAATAAATTATAAAAAACAAATTAAAAAGAGATGGCAATTGAACTCGACAAGAGTCAAAATAATGAACAACAAAAAGTTCGTTCAGATATAATTGAAATTTGTGCCAATCTATAATGCTGATTAGCATAATCATTGTCCATACATAGATGGCAAAGATGTCTATAACTACAATTGAATACGAAATTAGTCTCTTCATTTCCATATAAGCTACACATGCTCTGACAAATCTTAGCCATTTATCGAAGCGTGTATGGCCAGAGTCTAAGAAAGGATTAATTTTTCTTCTGATAGCCCCATTGTGAACCGCCTTCCTTGCCACCTTTCTTGCCATGTTCAGAATGTGATGCGTGATGTTCCTCGTGCCCATCTTTGCCTCTGTAACCTTTGTGGTCTTCATCAAGATGACCCTTGTTACTATAAGAGAAAGAGTACAACATAAATTAGAATTGAAATAAAAAGTATGAGGTAACTGCTATGAATACAGTCTGTTAAAAAAAAAAAAAGATATACACTTATTAGTGAATATAACGATACATTTTAACGCTTTAAAACCCAAATGCTAAGTAAAAAGAAATTAGACAATGATATATCTATAAAGAGAAACGAATTCAGTCATACATGTGATAAAAAAATTTTAAGAAGATGAAAATTATGTAAGTAATCCCTCATTAATATTGTAGTAATGGGTTTATTCTTCACTTTGTTCACTACAATTCTTTACGAATTACTATCTCTAGGTACTTTTGTACCAGTTATTTTTACACTGAGCTATAAATATAACAGAGTAGTGATGCAAGGGAGACGAACCAAAATAGTCTTCTGTATTTTGGTACGTCAATATTCATATAATATTCATTCAACCATTAAATAACTTGTACAATATATTTATTGGAGTAGTTTTAAATTATTATTTAATAGTATATTTTGATTTTTGTACATAGATTTAAAGAGTGTAACAGAGTTTACTAAAATAACAGTTAATTCAAGTAAATATTATTCAATGCAAAATATAATTGATATATCTAACCATATTCTTGCAGAATACATGACTATAAGGATTAATTGCCATGCACTTTTCTAATAATGAAATTGTTAACAAATTTAATGTAAATTTGCTAAATCCATAACTTCAAACGAACCATACTCCCACGATAATAACAAGTACAAAGTAAAAGAGAGGTAGACCTTTTATAACATTTTATACCAGAGGGAGACTGTACAAAAGTCGATTGCTTGGATACCTCTGTTCCATTCGTGTTTCAACCGTGAAGCAGTTGTGTTTGCATGGCTCTGTTTCGGTTTGAAGGGTGGGATATGGCGTGAATTTACTGGGTACAGAGGAATAACATCTGAGTCCTCAGGAATGTCAACGCATGGGGAATATCATGGGCGAAACAGTATATACTGCTCATGTCTATAGGCAACGGTTACCACTTTCCATCAGGTGGGCCCGTCAGCTTGTTTGCTATTCTAAGTTGTATAAAAAAAAACCTTTTATAAGTCGTCTGTATAGCGATGTTTAAAGAGGAACGCTGCTGCCCATATCTCGACTGTTAAGTTCCCTTGTCACCTCTTACGACACTCGCGGCAAAGGAAGAATCATGAATGGGTCAATATTCTATGATTGCGTATATATATTTGCGTTCTTTTCTATAAATTGCTATTATCTATCAGGAGGGTGTATGGCCGTGTGGTCCCGGTACAGAATAGGCCACCCCTTCCTTTCCTGTGGGTGTCGTAAGAGACGACTAAGGGAGGGTAATGAATGGGCAACAATGTTCCTCTTGAAACATCTGCAAAACCTAATTGCGGTTGTCAACTCACTTGCCAAGCCTGGCAACTACTAGCAAAACCCTCCAAGGGTTCAGCAATGGACAGTTATAGGCTGATGATGATCAGGAGGGTCTTCAACTTGTCTGCCAATCAAAGCTGTATAAAAAAACGAAAATAAAGAAAAAGCATAAAGTGGAATCAGTCTGCCACTAACCTATATCCTTTCTTGCCCCGCTCCACGAAATCGTGTCCCGCATTGACATGATGCGCCTTCTTCTTTCCGCTCTCGTTGCTGGCGTGCTTGGCGTGGAATTTGCCATAACGATGGTGTTCTCCGCTCTTATGGAAGTCATCGTAGAACTTGTGCTCCTTGTGGAACTCGTCTTTGTGGTATTTGTTGTGGTATCCTGGACAATAAGCAAGTTTACACTGATCATGTTTCATTCAAATAATTATACCATCTTAAAAGGATAAAGCAGTTGAAAATACTGTAATAAAATAAAAAAAAAATAAAATAAAACATTTTACAATTAATGATTGATTAGAATTATTACAAAATCTTTTGTAATTTCTAGTTTTAATATTTTATTCTTTTAATTGTTCATTTTTTTGTAAATTTTCAATACAATTTTTTAATACGAACCGGCGTTTCATTTCTCACAAACAGTTCTCAATAAGAGTTACTGATTATCATCCTAGTCCTGTTATTCTAGTCTAAGATTTTTAAGTTTTAAATAACCTTACTAGCATAACAGAGTCGTGGGATCCTTTAGGAATGAACATACGCGAACATTTGATCGTTGTTTGGTCTTAATGAACCAATCAACTTAGACATAGATTTAGTATAAAAAAACTAGCGATCTATCTCAGCATAGGTAGACAGAAAGATTAATAAGCATTTTATATTACCTAGCTTTAATAGGCAAGACTTTGATACTTTGTCTTCGTAGGGATCTCTAATTTTTTTTAAATGTTATTTATATATTATATAAAGTATTTTTTAATTAAGTTAAGTGATATTTGAATTTGTTTATTACAAAGGAATAAACAAATTAATATATGACTAATTAATATAATTTTCTGCCACCCAACATTACATTACTTTATATAATTTGGCGATATAATTATAATTACTTATGCTTTCGACTATAATTCCAAACAGCATAGTCAAAGACATTAAACCACATTTCCATGGGCAAATTGGGGAAATCCGAACTTTGTGAATCGAATATAACAGCCTCATCTCTCATTTAAAATTAGAACACAAATTGTTGTCGACCAATATTGAACTCTTAAACTCAGTCTTGTGTGTCGGAAAGTTGAGCAATTTACAATTGAATCTATTGTTTGATATTCATGCAACGTTAGAACTAAATACGAAAAGTTTTATAAATTTATAACTTGCACAATATCATTAATTGAACATACATTTAATACGATTTAATTTTCTAACGCCTTAAATATTTATTAATATACAAGAAAAAAATACCTAAATAAGAAAAGTGTACAAATTTATAATTTGCACAATGTCATTAATTGAACACACATTTAATGTGATTTGATTTCTGAACACCTTAAATACATATTAATGTACAATTGTTAAAACTACAACAAGAAAAAAATACCTAAATAAGAATGTTGTACAAATTTATAATTTGCATAATGTCATTAATTGAACATACACTTAACGCGATTTGATTTCCGAACGCCTTAAATACTTAATAATGTACAAGAAAAAAATACCTAAATGAGAAAATTGTACAAATTTATAACTTGCACAATGTCATTAATTGAACACACATTTATTACGATTTGATTTTCGAATGCCTTAAATACTGGTTCATGTACAAGAAAAAATACCTAAATGAGAAAAGTATACAAATTTATAATTTGCATAATGTCATTAATTTAACACACTTTTATTGCGATTTTCTAACGCTTTAAATACTTATTAATGTACAAAAAAAAATACATAAATAAGAAAATTGTGCAAATTTATAACTTGCACAATATCATTAATTGAACATACATTTAATACTGTTTGATTTCCGAACTCCTTCAATACTTATTAATGTACAATAATTAACTATACAGAGAAAAAAAAAAATAGTGACGAGGTCGTATCGTAAATGCAAACAAACAACTTTATGTAACCGCTGATCAAGTGATTCGCTTTCACTAAACCGCAGAATATTATATTTTCTTAAATAATATCGAATACCGCAATACAATTACCATAAAAAGTTAAATATTAGATATTGTTGACAGCAATGAGTAAAATTAACACGAGCTATAACTTTGGCCTGGTTTTAGTTGAAAATGGTATATTTTTATTTTATTTTAATATTAAATTTTTTTTACATTAGTTTATTATGTGTTAGGAATCACCTATTCGTGTTTCTACCGTAAAGCTAAGTTATGTTTGCATGGCTGTGTTTCAGTTTGAAGGATGGGATATGACAGTGAATTTACAGGGTACAGAGGAATAACACCTTAGTCTTCAGGAATGGTAACGCATGGGGGGTATCATGGGCGAAACAGTATACTCTGTTACGTCCATGGTACTGCTCATGTCTATAGGCAACGCTTGCTACTTTCCATCACGTGAGTCGTCAGCTTGTTTGCCGTTCTAAGTTGTATAAAAAACACGTTCCTCCTTATTAATTTTATTTATCATCATTACTTATAATAATACATATTTATCAATAAATCATAGCATAAATAATAAACACGAGTTGCAGAATTATTTGTACAGATTTTTATAGATAAGTTATCATTTGTACTAAAAAATAAATAAAAAAAATATCTATGGATTCTCTTGTTGAGTTAAAGAAATAAAATTTAAATTCGGAATTTAAATAAGTATTAGTAAGTAAAGTTAGTTGTATTTGATAAATTATATATATATATATATATATATATATATATATATATATATATATATATATATATATATATATATATATATATATATATATATATATATATATATTCTTTATTGCACTTATAAATTACATTGTTAATGCATTTATAAACGCTGTGAGCAAGGATGGACTTATCTCTGACAGAGATCTCTTCCAGTTAACCCAATACAGTTAGAAAGCATGTCGTTAGCAGCTAAAGTGCTACAACTATTAATATATTTTATGTATTTTTTTCAAGTATCAAATAAATCATGAATAATTAATTGCATCTCTTATCTAAATTTGACATTAACAATGTAAAAGTAAGTTGGTCCGTTGCGTCTAAATGCCTTATCGATTTAATCAAACATTAAATCATAGTGGAAGTAGATCGAAAAGCAACAGTTAAAATTAATATACACGCATACATTTTATGTTAATTTCATTTCTATATACGTAATAAACTTATGGATACATCAAATAAAAATAAAACCTCCTAAAATTCTCCAAAATTTTAAAATTGAATGATATTGTGACCCCGCCTGCACTATCGATATACACTCTCCAGTAAAGAACGCTAGGTGTATACGCAAGCAGGTCAGTTGGTCCCTCGTGAAGAATTTAACAATTATTAACCATCACAATTTCTATGGGGAACCGTGTGGAGGTCGACCTGATAAGGTCGGGAGACTTTGTACAAAAGTCGTTTGCTTGGGTACCTCTGTCCCATTCGTGTTTCAACCGTGAAGCAGCTGTGTTTGCATGGCTGTGTTTCGGTTTGAAGGGTGGGATATGGCGTGAATTTATTGGGTACAGAGGAATAACACCTGAGTCTTCAGGAATGGCAACGATTGGGGGGTATCATGGGCGAAACAGTATACTCTGTTATGTCCATGGCAGTGCTCGTGTTTATAGGCGACGGTTACCACTTTCCATCAGGTGGACCGTCAGCTTGTTTGCCATTCTAAGTTGTATAAAAAAAAGCTATATTGCTAACAAGAGGGTAGTTAGACTTCATTACTAATCATCCCTATTCCCCCATCTTTCAACAGTTAGAGACTGTCTCGTTTATGATATAAATATGAATACTAGAAGGACAAATGTAGTACAATATATTCTTATATTTCTTTTAATTGGCATTCAATTTTAAAATACGTACCTCCCTACCCTGTCAGTTAGACTCACCTTTAGTCTTATGCCCCTTCTTGTGCCCTTTCTTCTCATCAAACTTGGAACCTCTATGTCCATGAGCCTCTTCCTCATGACTGCCTTTATGGTCAGCGTGGTCGTGGTGCTTGTGTTTCTTTCCTGCTGCCTCCTCGTATTCCTTACGGTGGTTCTCATCCAGTTTGTGACCTTTAGCCCCTTTGTCTAAGTGATGATTCGATTTGTAGCCTTTAGTGCTCTGGAAAGTTTAGCAGAAATGATTATTGGATCTTATAAAAAAATGGTTTAAAATGTTCTTCCTTTCTGGAAAATTGATGATGTTTAAAATAGATTAAATATTGATTGATTAAGTATTAAATAATATTACCAAACGACTACTTTTTATATTGGAAACTATATACAAATTATATACATATATTTTTATAATTATATATATATATATATATATATATATATTTATATATTAATATATATATATATGTTTCTTGTGTATAAGATTAAATATATTAACAGCTATATTTTCTAATGAGGTAGTTAGAGGCGTTCATCGACTATTACCTTTTTTAAGAACGCCCACATTTCGAGATCAAATTAAAGTTAAGGTTTTACTACTGTATTAATTTTTTAATAAGAGGCTTTGTCTAACTACAATACGCCTACTTGTACAAAATCTCAATTATTTTAAGATTAAATTACGATCACTTTTATTGGAAAAATGCTATTACTCCGGTAATGACTTTTGTATTGATAATTAACGTAAATACTAGAATAAATAATAAATTTGACATATATTACGAATGAAGTTGACATTGTTGATTGTAATTTTTAAAAAAAAAACAATTAATTTTAATGTTTTTTTGTATGATTATCCCTTATTTCAAACCCAAAGTATATTGTTTTTTGAATAAATGACTAATGACTTACTTTAATCAACATTATATAGAAACGAATCATTATTTACTCAGATTTTCATTCCCTATAGGATTTAGATTTTAAGGTGTAATGTAGACATTTTGTTTTTTTAACAGATTTTGTTTATTTAAGAGTTTTTTCTTCTTGATTTCATTCTATCAAGATTGTAAGGTGTATCTAATACAGAGATACTTTTGACTAACTAAAATACAATTTAATGTATAGACATGAACATAGATTCAACCTTTGATTTTTTATTTATTTATTTATTTATTCTTTATTGGACAATAAAAAAAATTATAAATGGCGAGCTTAATGCCATATGGCATTCTCTACCAGCTAACTATTAGGTAAAAACAGAAAGCGTATGAAGGGCAGACGTGGTGAAAAATATGTGACAATTATAGTAAAACATTAAAGTGAATAATTAAATAAGCATAGAAAAACAAAATGTAAAAACTTAGCGAACGATGTACACACGGGTGAATATTATGCAGAAATTAATGTTAAGTATTCATAACTAAGTTTAGCGAAGTATAGTGCAACGACGAGCTATGAGAATTGTCGATGATCCCAGGCTCACAAGCGGTATCGTACCCTTAAGTCTTAGGAGAGATTTTGCCTCACTCTCCGTGTTCTATCGCCTGTATAATGGATTGTGCTCAGAGGAATTGTTCAATATGATGCCTACAGCCACTTTCTACCATTGTACGGCTCGCCATCGACAGGGAGTTCATCCTCATATCCTACAGCCTTAAATGGTCGCGTACTGCGCGGTTTCATAAATGTCTCCTCCCACAAACACTCAGATTGTAAAATGAGCTCCCTGCCGAGGTTTTCCCAAGAGACTACAGCATGGGGTTCTTCAAAAGGGGGGTAAAGAGGTTTCTTCGGGGTCGGAAACGCGCGCGTAATACCTCTGGTATTGCAGGAGTTCATAGGCTACGGTAACCACTTACCATCAGGTGGGCCGTATGCTTGTTTGCCACATCAGTGGTATAAAAAAAAACAACAATTTAACAATTTTAAATATTCTTGATATAAGTGTACTCTGAAAGTGAACTAGAATGTTAATCATTCAATGAGCTAATGAAAACTTTAATTTTGATAGCGATAAAGTGATTTAATAAAATTAAAAGTAACAAAACATTTAGCAGTCGATTAATATACAAATCATTCTATAAATAACTGTTTGCCCGCTCCATTGTACGCGTGGATTTTAAAGGTAGGAAAATCATGAGATAGATATTTCTAGACGGCGTACCAAGATGGCGTCATACGCCATAGCTTAGTACTAGCTTGTAAGTTAAACCTTCATAAACGTAATAGTGAAAGTTGCATCTAATTTGGTGCTATGTGATGCTAGAAAAAATATATAGACAGTCAGAGAGAAAAAAATGAAGAACTAGGCCCCCAAATAGATTTCAACTCTTTTCTCGGTGGAGTAGAAACGATGAATATTAAAATATTAAACTTAGTTCTCATTTTATATTTATATTTTGAATGAGATATTAGTAATACTAAAGTCTTAATCCGCTATCAAAGGACTTTATGAATAATAAATTTAGAATAATAATAATAATATAATATATTATAAATAAGTTAATTCGAATAATAATCACAGTACCTATGCAAATATAAAATTATCTTGTACATAATAATTTGAAAAGAGTAGCTGTTGAGCGTCTTACGGGTTCGTTTCAGCAGATAACGACATCCCGAACTTACATACATACATGTACAACCGTAAAAAGTTGATGATATAAAAAAAAGCTTGTATACAAGTCTATTTAAATAAAGATTATTTCAATTCTATTCAATTCTAGAATGATGTAAAAATAAATTCAATTGCTTTTGATAATTAATTGATAATTTCGGTTAATTTTGTATGACATTCTATTAGACATTTTGTATTACATTAAGATAGTTTTCTTTATGACTTAATTACAAATAATATTGCTTCGTGTTTTAAATCGTCTTACGAAAGAAGATAATATAAAAAAAAAAAACAGTACGATCTTTGCAAAATAAAGACACAATGTTCAGGAGTGGCAATCAGAGAATATACTGTGCCGTCCATAGTAAAGCAGAGAATTTATGTAAAATATATGCTACTAGTATTTCTCTATACAACCACGCTTCGCGGTTTCATCTATATAGTTATCAAAACAAAGTCTAAAACTAGCATTCAGGGGTTTTCAGTCAATGAAATAATTTTTACAATCATTTCAGTACTTTTAACTATAACTCTTTACATAGAAACAAACATTTATCTTTTTATAAACCTTACTTATGTATATGTGAAAGTGTGCGATTGCTTGGGTACCTCTGTCCCATTCGTGTTTCAACAGCGAAGCAGTTGTGTTTGCATGGCTGTGTTTCGGTTTGAAAGGTGGGATATGGCTTGAATTTACTGGGTACAGATGAATAACACCTGAGTCCTCAGGAATGGCAACGCATGGGGGGGTATCGTGGGCGAAACAGTATACTCTGTTATGTCCATGGTACTGCTCATGTCAATAGGCGACGGTTACCACTTTACATCAGGTGGGCCGTCAGCTTAATTGCCGTTTTAAGTAGTATAAAAAAATGTCTTTGGCACACGTACGAAGTCGTAGGTTTAAGCTAATATTATTTAAAATTTGTTTAAATAGTAACAATAGATATTACTATTTTCTAAAAATTGAGAAGTTCTCAATTCGCCTGCATTTTTTGTGTGTATATTACAAGATATTCTTACCAATACCGATTTTGCTAATTCTTTTTACAACCATTAAGAGGTTCGTGTTAGTCTCATAGTAATTTTCCTGCGATTAAAGCTATTTTGTGGAGCAAAAACTTAAATTATTTTAGTGTTCAAAGAGTTCCTTTCATATTTGTTTAAACGTACTCAGGAAAGACTATTTACTGTATTGTTTATATTTTTATTGTTTTTTTTTTTTAAGATGATCAAGATGATCATGAAGAAAAATATAGGCTACTTTTTTCCCGTGATTCACACAAAAATCTCTCTTACGGCTACTGACATAAAACACATAACTTTACCTTACCACCACGGTCGGAGTGGTGACCCGCGTGCTTGGCGTGTCCACCGCCCTGCGAATGTCCCGCGGAGTGTTTATGGTTGCGATGTTGACCAGCCGCCGCGTACTGGTCACCAGATAGCTTCTTCACTTGCTGCGGTACAGGCACAGATGGAACGGGCACTGGTCCATGCACAGGCGTTTCGGCAATAGGCACCGAAACGACGGGAGCGGGAACAACGTTAATTGGGTTAGGTGGAGCGATAAACTGCACAGGTTGATGATTTACGTTAGGGGCAACATTCAATGGAGCGTTTGGTTTTAACGAAGCAACAAATTGATTGACAGGCTGGGACAGCACAGGTTGGGCTGGCAATTCTGCGGGACTCACATCGGGTTTGAGGTAACGCGTATAAGCTGATCCAGGTGGAGCGTACACTCTGTGGTAGTGATCGGCGCTCGCGGCCAGCATCTCCTCGTACGGCGGCGACGATGGAAACTCGTCGTCCGTAAACTCGTGTACTTCGTACTGGTGAACTTGCCGAGGAACCCTTGTGTAATCAACCGAACGTCGATCCCTGTGCACCGGTTCATCGTAGCACCGTCTCTTCACTCTCACATGTTCTTCATAAGGTTCTTCTACGTACGCCTCTCTTCTGTATCTCTCGTGAGATTCCTCCCTCTCCTCATTATAAGGCTCTTCGAGATCTTCTTCTTCCACCCAGGGTTCTTCCGCGATCTCGGCAACCGCGAGCGCCACAATCGATAATAGCCAGATCGCTACTGGCCGCATCTCGTCTGGACTGCGCTGAAAACGGCAATTTTTTTGTTTTATACTCTTATTTTAAAACCTTTCACCGCGCGTTGTCTAACCTCAAAATAAAAGGGTCGCTAAACGTGCATGTGTACGCTTGTGCTATATGGTCTGCCGTTTTCGTATGTGTCACTTGTTTTATACAGTGCAGTATGTAAACATGTAGTTTGCACAGAAGCGCGCAAGCTCGCAGCGCGTCGGTCGGACACTGCGCGGGCGCAGCGCTGCAGCAACCTAGAAAGCGTACGTAACGGGGCGTCACGAATCGTTTTTCCCGACGATTATTTTCGCGATTTTTCGATCAGTGAAAACGGCGGCCGTGAATTATTAAATTGTCACTTTTACTAATGGTTCGCGACCGTGAGATCCGGTTACACAATATCACGCAATCACGCCCGGCCCACTACTGGATAGTCCATTTGGCGCGGGTACTATAACATTATGACGTTTGTCTACCTACGTGAGAAAAATAAAAGTGCTACGACAGAATTGCTTCCGTAATAGGTAGGCGGCGCACGTAGGACACTTTTTTATACCGCTGCGGTGGCAAACAAGCATACGGCCCACCGGCATTACGCGCGTTGTCGATCCTGAATCAATCTCTTTACACCTTTTTTTGAGGAACAGGCATGCGTCGAAATTGATATTTTTATTACATTAGCTGTTTCTCGCGGCTTCGTTCGCCATTATTTTTCGTGCCTATGGTAATTTTGGGAAATTGATGTTCATTTACATTTTCTAAGGTATTCTTGAGAATGTAAGGTAGTTTTTAGGACCAAAAGGATGTGGAAAAAAATAGCCAATTGTTAATTAATTGAACCATAATATTGTTATTATGTTTTTTCTAGTTCTTTTTTATTTATTTGTAACATTATTGTAAAGTTTTTTATTGCTCACAACTTAGGTTATATGTTTATTTTTATAACTAATAACTTTTAAGATATTTGTAGTCTAGTGTTATTTAATTCATTATAATAGTTACATCATTTCCTCGCACTGTATAATTATGTTAAAGTAAATGCTGTGAATACCTATAATAGGCGTGTGAATTAATATTGTATTATATTTATTGTTTGTTATACCTATATGTTATAATGCAATATGCTGTTGGTGTTCCTTAAATAAATAAATAAAAAATAAAAGTTTTAAAATGGGATGCAGAGTTTTTAAGAAAATATCGAACATCGTGGCGGACTAATCCCATAAGTTGCGTTTATCCTCTCCGCCAATTGTTTCCACTTAATCTAGAAGTATTTATCGGTATTTCCGTTTTCGAAGTTATTTGTCCGTATTATCTGTCGTTTTATTTTTGTGGCAATAGGAGTTTTTTATACTCATGAATTTACTAGTTAATCTAAACTAGTATTATAAAGAGGAATGATTTGACTCTTTCACTTCATCATGATTATCATCTCAGCCATTATCTGTCCATTGCTGAACATAAAACTCTCCAACAGACTGCCATAGGAATAATCCTGAGCCATCTGCATCCACTGACTTCCTGCAATGCATTTAAATAAGGCTTTTTTTTATGCAACTTAGAAAGGCAAACAAGCTGACGGCCCATCTGATGATAAATGGTAACCGTCGCCTATAGACATGAGCAGTACCATGGACATAACAGAGTATATTGTTTCGCCCATGATAGCCCCCATTCGTTGCCATTCCTGAGGACTTAATATCTAAAAAAGATCAGTATGGGGTTCTTCAAAAAGGTTATATTAAGGTTTCTTCAGGGTAGGCAACGCGCACGTGACACCCCTAGTGTTGCAAGCATCGATAGGCTACAGTTCACAGATCGTTTATCATCAGACGGGCGGTATGCTTATTTGCCACTATGAGAAAGTATGTAATTAGCAGGCAGCTAAAGTGCATGAGTGATGTACGAATTACATCAATACTAATCAATACATAAGCTACAAATTAACAGATAAATAAAATATTAATATATATAATATTATATAAATACATAAACATAATACCTACCTACTTATGTAATAAATATTAAAATAAACAAATATATAACCTGTATTAGAAATTTAGTTTAATGATTTTAAGATATGACAGTTAAAATAGTATCATGATAGTTGGGGGGAAAGGGATTGTTAGTAATGGAGACTAAAAATCCCATTGCTAGCAATATGCCCAATCAGGTCGACCTTCCCCCCCCTGAAACCACGAGGAGATTCCTGATGAATTCATCCTGATGGGCTAACTGGTCTGTTTTCATTCTCATCGATCACCCTTCACTGGTGCTCCGCCAGCGTATCCTGTTAGTACAGACGGGGTTACTATTCCATTTTCACCAATCAAAAACAAAAACAAAATCATGATTGTTTCCGGGGGGAACCGTGAGCAGGTCGACCTGGTTGGGTATATTGGTAGCAATGGGATTCTTAGTCGCTATTACTAACAATCCCTTTCCCCCCTTTCGCAAATACCTTCACGTGATACACTGTCACAAGATTATGCGTATATGTATCTATTATTTACCTTCTACTAGTATTTGCTTTTTATTCATTATATCTTCTGTTCCGTTATTTAAATAGCGTGTAAGTTATATAAGTATATTTTGTAAGGCACTTTAAATTGCCACTGTCCTTGAAAGAACATTTTGCACGCTAATGTTAGCAAAACATGTTAGAACTATACAAATCCTACAATGAACAACAAGTATGTCTTTGCACTTACTATGTACACATGTTCGCAAATAAAATCTTTATCTTTAAGTGTAATAATGCACAGTTAACAAGTGGTTTATATAGGTATTTACGTACTCGCTTAATTACCAAACTACTTAATTAGTAACTACGTAACCATGTTTTGTCCAAATTATAACAGAAATACTCTTTAAATATAAAGATTATTTATTTGTAAATGTTAAATCAATTTCTTCTTGCAGAGGGAATTTGTTTTTCATAACTATACATTTATTAAAAATTAAAAAAATAGTCCCGACACAAACAAACCCCTATAAAGAGTTGGTCACCTTGAATAGATCTTCGTGAATTGTAACTAAGAATCATCTCAATCAAGCTGACATCACCTTACAAATAAAAAAACGCATCATAATCGGTCCATTCTTGTTTATATACATACGGGAAATGAACTTACTGTTTCGCCGTTTCCAACAATTGTTTCGACTTAATCCAGAAGTTATTTTCAGTACAACGTCCTGTCTTGGGGAGAAAGGGATTGTTAGTAATAGATTACTAATTGACCCATTGCTAACAATACACCCTGGGGAGAAAGGGATTATTAGTAATGGAGACAGAATCCTATTGTTAGCAATATACCCAACCAGGTCGACTTCCTCGCGGTTCTCCCTGGAAACTATCATGGTTAATTCCTGATGAATTCATCATGATGGGCTAACTGGCCTGTTTTCATTCTCATCGATTACCCTTCACTGGTGCTCCGCCAGCGTATCCCGTTAGCGCATGCGGGGATACTATACCATTTTGACCCATCAAAAAAAAAACAATACAGGGTGTATTGTTTTTTTTTTCCCACCACTATCTCTCTATGACGATGTATTATTTTAGCGTTATCTACTAATTATACTTCATGTTTGTTTGTTTCTTGTTATTAAAATCGGAGAGTTAGTAATGCCTGGCGTAAAAATAGATAAATAATTCATCGGATTTCACTATGTCAAGGAAGCTTTTTTTTTTATTAATCATACTAATTTTAGTTTCACTTAACATGACCTTTATTTTAAAATAATTTATCAACCCATTAGGGTTCCGTAATATTTCCTTGACCAGTTTTTTAAACCTTCGCTAAATACTTCTATTTGTAGTACTTATAATTCGGTATAATATGCATAAATTTAATTGTTTCTAGCTACCAGCGGTGTTGACCAAGTATTACGACCTAAAAGACCTATTGCCTTCTCCATCCCATATATAAATAGTACGTGTATACCAAATTTCATAGTGATTTTTTTTATACAACTTAGAATGGCAAACAAGCTGACGGTCCACCTGATGGAAAGTGGTAACCGTCGCCTGTAGACATGAGCAGTGGCCATGGACATAACAGAGTATACTGTTTCGCCCATGATACCCCCCATGCGTTACCATTCCTGAGGACTCAGGTGTTATTCCTCTGTACCCAGTAAATTCACGCCATATCCCACCCATTGAAAAAAAAATTGTATTGCTTAGTGTATTGTATTGTAAGAGCAATGACGGTTACTGATTTCGATACCGCATTACTTAGGACACAATGACATTGGCAACTACATAATGATTCTATTCAGTCGCTTTCAATAAATCACACGGATCGATGAAAAGACAATTCGTGACTATAACACTGAAATGGCAGCTTAACACTATTACGATATTTTATTATTTGCCAAATTTATAATTGTTTGTCAATTTTCCGTGCTTGTGCCAATAATAGGGTACAAAAGAATAAGGACTATTTGCACAATTGACGACAAATACCTGTTTAATGAAAAAGTAAATTATATCTTTACGTTTCATTGCATCATTCATAAAAATAATAAACCTACAATTAATTTTAATGAGAAGTGACAAAAAATACAGACAAAAAAAATACGTATCTGCCACCTGTCTATTGCAAATCTTACCTTTTTTTTTTGTTGTAATTGTAACATTAGGATATAATTTAAAAATATATTACATTTTATTCCTTTTTTACTATTTGTATTTTAGTATCTCTCTTTTTTTTTTTGCATTTAATGCTAAAACCTGATGACCAGGTGACAACATAAGGGTTCAAATGAAAATTCGATGTTCGTATATCAAGTTCGTTTATTCAATGTGTTAGTAAACAAATAAATACATACATACATCTAAAGCGACACGTGCGACAATAGTATTACAGTGTTGATTTAGTAAATAAATCGATATGATCTACGGTATTATTTGTACCGGCCTATGTCTACCAGAGGGAGACTTTGTACAAAAGTCAATTGCTTGGGTACCGCTGTCCCATTCGTGTTTCAACCATGATACCTCCCATGCGTTGAGGACACAGGTGTTATTCCTATGTACCTTGTAAATTCATTGCCATATCCCATGTTCCCTATATTTCGGTTTGAAGGATGGGAACCCTTCAAACCGAAACACAGCCATGCAAACACAACTGCTTTACGGTTGCTTACGGTCTATAGATGACGGTTACCACTTTCCATCAGGTGGGCCGTCAGCTTGTTTACCATTCTAAGTTACATAATATATATATATATATATATATATATATATATATATATATATATATATATATATATATATATATATATATATATATGAAAATTTTCTGGTCATAATTACTATTAATCCTTCAAATAATTATATATAGACAACCCTAAAAGTAAATAAATAAAAAAAAAATAATTATCGACATTCATTTACAATCGAAATTGATCATCCAATCACAACAACATGTCATACACACAAAAATACAGTCGAATTGAGAACCATTTAATTTTTAACATGGCTGAGTGGGACATTAAAATAGAAAGAATTCAACAACATTTTTATATATTTGTTATGACATATCTCCGTCAATTCTGCACCTAAATACATAATTATTTTTTTAATTTAAAATATTTAATTAAATTCGTTATGTGTTTTAATTTTGTTTTAATTATTGTGTTTTTTGTTATTCAATGAAATTGGTACATTGAATTTATTAAGTTTGCATAAGCCTGCTTCACGTAGACACATTGTACTAGTACCATATTGATTTATTTGCATTGTTAAATTGCTTAACTTTACAGTACATCATATTTATTTACGTATATTACACGTCATTTACATTATTTACAGAACTTAAAATATAGGTCAATGCAATAGAGATAATGATCCAAATGCTGCAGTAGGTACCTTTTATTATACATGAATGTTTTCTGAAGATTATAAATGCTTCTGTGTTTTGTTTTTTTAACAAAACAAATAGTTACCATAATAGTATTTTATTGATAAAAGATATGGCTGTGAAATTACTGGATACGGTGGTATACCTATATATATATATAAAAGTTTTCAAGAATGACATCGCATTAGGAGTATCATGGGCGTCACAGCATACTCTGTGATGGTATACAGTCCATTATTATTAAACTTTTATAATTGAATTTTCGTCATCATCGTCTCAGTTATTATGTGTCCATCACTGAAGATAGATCTCCCCCGTAGACTGCCATAAGAAACGGTCATGAGCCATCTGAATCTAATAACTAAATTGTAACTCCCTTATTCATAAAAACGTCAAATCTCTTATATACTGGTAGGAAAGGGATTGTTAGCAATGGAATTTGACAGCCCTATTGCTAGCAATATGCCCTATCAGGTCAACCTCGACGTGGTTCTCCCTGGAAACCATCGTGAACAATTCTTGTTGAATTCGTCACGATGGGCTAACTGACCTGCTTTATTCTCACCTATCATTCTTCACTGGTGCCTCGCCGGTGTATATCGATAGCGCGGGTGGGGTCACTATTTCATTATCATCCATAAAAAAGCCTCTTATATACCTATTTTAGCTATTGAACTGTATTGTCTCTTTCTTTTACACTACATTCTCAATATGAAAGAAAGTGACAAAACAGTATATTAGTTACATTTGTAGAAGATTTTAGTTTTTATGAATAGGGGCGTAAGATTGTTTTTAATTACAAGTAATGTAACAGAAATTATTTTCATATTTTCTATTACTTTTCAAATGAAATGAAATGAATTTATTTTACTTTTCAAACATAAATTACTCAGTGTTTGAAATAAGTCAATAAATAATATATCACTTTAAGGCATTTGTTTCTATTTTACTATTTTATTTCCATTTACTTTTTTAATTATTAATAAAGATTATAAATTATATTTATATTGTATGTGTTTGAAATAAGTCAAGGAATAAATTATATATTATATTAAGACATTTGTTACTATTTTACCATTTTATTTCCATTTTTTTATTATTATTAATAAAGATTATGCATTACGTTTGCATTGTATTACTGTGTAATTCTGAGTACAATATTACAAAAAAAAACTACCAATTTTCAGCCAATTACAATTACGTGCTAAAAATCGATTATGTCATGGCTAGATTGAAAATTGTTCTCAAAATTTTTCATTATAACATAATTCGACAACGTAATTGTTATTCAGTAATTACTGTTTTCAGCTTCAATTAGCGAAGTCACGGATTGTATGATGCTTTAAATATAACAAAAGAAAAATATTTTCAAAACAGCCAACGTTATGTTCAATATTGAGCTTTAAAATTACTATTTTAATTTGATGTAAAAGATTTTATGTAATATACAAAAAAAAAATGGTAATTATTATATTTTATAATTGTTAATTAGGTACGTAGAATAATAAATATGTACATTGAAAAAATGACCCAGAATAACCTATATAGTACAATACATATATAAATTGAAAAAATGCCAAAGAATAATCTATAAATCCTTATTGGATGTTCAGATACTATATTCAAATTTAAAACATACACCGTCTTATGTAGCTATAAAAATTATACAATATATTATATAATTTTTATTATATCAATAAAAAATATTTGAAATGATTGTCTCAAATTCTATCCCCCTTTCTCTTTATTATAATAAATTAAAAATGGCCATTTATTTATCGTATAAGAATAATTATGAACAAAAATAATATAATATCGATTATTAATATAATAGGTGACTCGATTCAAGTCGATTACATCATGTTAATTGTACATTAATTCAATCTATTCGATTGTAAAAACACTGACAGCCGTATCGATCGGCACTGCCAATCGATAGCGGTGAATTATATCGACAAAAAGTTGTATCTAAATGGTAAAAAATCTAAAAAGCGATGTAACGCCAATCAAAATGGTTCAGAATTGGTTACCCATTTTTTATAGCTTAAAAATAGAACTGCCAAAGAAATATAATAATATACATTTTTTTATTAAATTATTTTTATTATACATTTAGTCTGCCTTTTAGACAGACGTAATTAAAAGTTTTCAATTTTTAAAATTTCAATGATTATTCTTTTGAAAATGTTTTAATCCTTCTTCGCATATTGATGGAAATTTCCATCATGACATTGAATGCCCAAAAAATATATAAAAGAACAAGTTCACTTTAAGTTGATCGTGTCTGGATACCTTTTTAATCCATCGCAGAAAAAAAAAACATAGCTGTCAAATTTATTTTTTAAACTATTTTTCCTTTACTTTCGAACATTTATATCACCTTGATTTATTTCTGATCGCTCTCTAAGTAAAATATGCTTTCAGTGACTGGTTCCAAAATACTTATACATTCCCCTGTCTTCGTCAAGAAATCATCACTTAGAATTAAATCTTTAATATTGTTAACGAAGTAACATGACTTCCCCATCTTGTAGCACAAGGCAATTTTAGTGTTTGTGTAGAATCTTCATGATTTTATCAACAAGGAACTTAATCGTTGACAAAAAAAAACATGCAAAGAAAGGTTAAGTCCCAATTATATAGTACAGTTTCTGTTGTTAACAATAAAACAGAGCAGTAGATATTTTTTTTTTGTTTATAGGTGATAATGAAATAGTAACCCCACCCGCGCTATCGGTATACACCGGCACCAGTGAAGGATGATAGTTTTGTGAGGACGAAGCAGGTCAAAACGTTAGCCCATTTTTCGTGACGAATTCAACGAGAATATGTTCACGATGGTTTCCATTTATTGTAGTGTTAGCAGATGACGAGGGGGAATCACCACGCGGAGGTTGACCTGATAGGGCATATTGCTAGCAATGGGGCTGTCAAACTCCATTGCTAACTATCCCTTCACCCCACCAGTAGATATTAGACGAGATAAAATTCAACTTGGTAAACAATTATTACATTAGAAAGTGTATAAATCAGTTGCAAATTAACCTACTTTACATAGTAAATAACGTAATACCAATAATGTATACGATTGTTTGCAAAACAAATAAATCATTATTAAATCAATATTTTATTACATAGAAAGAACAACATTGCACAAATCTCTTGCATAACTTATGCAACGTGATTTTGTCGCTGTCTTGCTAGCAGGGTTGACAGATATACGATTTAAATCGTAATGATTATGGTATGAAATTGACTTTTTTTTATTTATGCAGTTTCTTTTTTAATTATAAAAACGTTATCTAAATCAATTATTTTATATATACAATATTTCTTATGCAACATAGTATGGCAGTAGCAATAGTCGCCTATGGATATAAACAGTACTATTAAAATCACAGAGTATACTGTGACACCCACGATACTTTGCGTAAGTTGTTTTTTTAAAAGAACAGCAGATATACGTGTGGTTTGATATAAAAATAAAATGTAGGATTGGACAGGATGTAAAAAAAGCCACAAATGTCTATGACCTAGGTGCTTTGCCCATCTGTAAATACCAATAATGTATACGATTGTTTGCAAAACAAATAAATCATTATTAAATCAATATTTTATTACATAGTTGCACAAATGCACTTCCCTCGTAATGATTATGGTATGAAATTGACTTTTTTTTTATTTATGCAGTTTCTTTTTTAATTATTTCTAAGCAATTATTTTATATATACAATATTTCTTATGCAACATAGTATGGCAGTAGCAATAGTCGCCTATGGATATAAACAGTACTATTAAAATCACAGAGTATACTGTGACAATTTACATGTATACGTGTGGTTTGATATAAAAAAATAAACGGCCATGGGAGGACAGGATGAGTTACAGTTTTAAATTGATCCATAGGATTGTTTGTGTAACATTTGATTGATTAGGTGTTTATTGTATACATAGATTATTAACGTTCACATATTCGTACTATGTATTAAAGAACGCCTTGCCGCGTGGTCCCGGCATAGAACAGGCCACACTTTCCTTTCCCGTGGTCCGTAAGAGGAGACTAAGGGACAGCAAAGGATAGGCAGCAGCGTCCCTCTTAAAACATCTCCAAAGTCTAACTTGCGGTTGATAATCCGCCTGCCAAGCGTGGTAAGTACTGGCAAGACCCCCCTAGGGGGAGGCTTATGTACAGCAGTGGACAGTTAATGGCTGATATGATGACGATGATGAAAGAACGCCTAGATATAATTATTTTAAAATTATAATCCGATATTAACACTTACAATTTTATTGGCCATTTAGAAAAAAATATCACATTTAATTTGAACTTGGAATAGCAAAGAAGCCACTTGATGTAAAATGGCAACCGTCGTCTATAGACATGAACAATACCATGAACATTACAGAATACACCATGGACATTAGAAAATGTATAATTTCACGCAAAGGTCACAAAAGGTTACATCAGAAAAATCAATCATGAAGATCAAGAAAGAAATGATATTGTATCGATCAATACCTTAGCACCACGATCAAGCCTGCCCCCAATTACTTGTTATCTAACTTGTAGAAAGTTAGTCGGTTACCTACATTAACACTGTCGCAAAAATTTTGAATTCTTATACATTTGTTTTAGATTATATTGATAGAGTGTCTCCATACAAATGCTTCGAGAAAAGCGGGTCAAATTTTTCACCCAATTTTGTGTGCTAAATAGTTATGAATGTTTCCTTTTTTTTTTATACAACTTAGAATAGCAAACAAGCTGACGGCCCACCTGATGTAACCGTCGCCTATAGACACGAGCAGTACCATTGACATAACAAAGTATACTGTTTCGCCCATGATACCCTTCATGCGTTGCCGTTCCTGAGGACTTAGGTATTATCCCTCTGTACCCAGTAAATTCACGCCATATCCCACCCTTCAAACCGAAACAAAGCCATGCAAACACAACTGCTTCACGGTTGAAACACGAATGGGATCCTTTATAATTCTGTATTTTCTAAAATATTTTTTTCATCCTTTTAATGCATAAAAACTTGTTTTATTTATTAAATAATTAAATATAGATACGTCAATAATAGATAATGTGCGTAAGTATATAGAACACTGAAAAAAAACAATTCAGCTAATTTGGCAATTAGCTGACAAAAAGTTGACCCGTTTTTGAGACTTGATTCTCTATTTATATAATCTAAGGCATTTGTTTATAAGAATTACATTACATGCATTATGTGACATAGTAAAATAAATAATAGTTAAATTTTTCTCCATGTAACGGAGGTTAGAATACAGTGTCATGTCTCCTTCTCATCAACAGTGTTTATTTTAACTCGGAGAGAGTTAGCCAGTAAGTTAGGGTCGGCGATGCGCACGTGATACCCCTAGTGTTGCAGGAGTCCGTACGCTACGGTAACCGCTTACCATCAGACGGGCTGTATGCTTATTTGCCACCTTCGTGGTATAAAAAAGTTACATGAATTTAAACAATTTAATTTATGAATTTTATTCTCTTGTATATCCACCGTGTGTGCCTCGGCATAAAATGGGCCATCCCATACTTTCCTATGGGTGTCGTAAGTGCCGACTAAGATAGGACGAGGGATGGGTAGCAGCGTCCCTCTTAAAACATCTGTAAAAGCCTAACTGCGGTTGCCAATCCGCCTGCCAAGCGTGACAACTACTGGCAAAACTCTTCTTATAGGGAAGGCTAATATCCAGCAGTAGAGAGTTAACGGCTGAAATAATAATAATAATAAAATACTCTTGTATATTAGAATTATATTATGTAACGTCATAAAATAAAAATTCCTTTCCATGTAGTAAATAATAGCTAAATCCTTTACCATCTGATGAAGTTTAAGAATACCATGAGTCGTAACTTTATTCATTCCCAGAATACAGTAACATGTGATGTGATGAATATACAAGAATACACTACACATTAACTTAAAAATGGTTATAAATAAAATCTTGTAGCAAAAGTTTTCAAGATAGACTGTATGCATCACAAATGGGTGTAGCTCATATTTTTATATCTTGACTTGCATAGCTTCAACTCTGCTTTTAGCAAATCATCAAAGTGATGATAGTACCCTAACATTTTCCATTTACAATGACATATCTGTGAATTATAATGGGACGTTATTTGCTTGTTATAAACATGAATTAAGTTCTTAATTAACAGTTACAGAAACTATACAGAACTAATCAAGTTTAGCGTATTTACAAACTAATAAGTCTTTATTAAATGTTCAGAAACAAAAGGCGAGAACGTATTTGGCTCCTTTATTTTCTTCTTCTTGTGCAACGGACAGCTCTTCTGTTTATGTCCTGTTTCTGACTTGTTGTGGGTCGGTTTGTACTGTGCCGATATAGACACGCACTTCTTAATGCTCTTTTGGCAACTATTCTTATCAATTTTCATTACTTCATCCAACTCACGGTCGGGAGTGGTGTAGAAAGTTCTAGAATTGGCATTCACTATATCGTTATCTTTGAGACGGGATGTGTACGCATCGTGCGACACTTCCAGTTGGCTGTGGTGGAGACACGTCGATGTTACCTAGAAATAAAGTTTTGTTTAAATGTTAAAAAGTATTATTAATTTGTTCTCAGTATTTGGACGCATGGATCTGATATAATTTATGGTATACATATTTTGTTTAGTGCACACTGTGCGTATGCGCTGGACACTTGGTACATGCAAGGTTGAATTATTCTAAGTATATAGGTCTTGAGTGACGACAGATTCCGCGTGTACAGTATAGTGAGTAGGCATGGAAATTATTGCTACATTTAATACATTATCATTTAGTGAAATTTTTATATTTATTTATATCGATCTCAGTTGTGACAATTTACAAAATGCGATCTTCGTCTGCTATGACGTAATCGTCACTATTGCTACTATTTGCTGTTGTAAGTGAAATAAGAATTATGATTTTTGTGGTAAGAGCAAGCGAATATAGTTTTTAAAGAAGTGTGATAAAGCACACTGTGATTTAACTCCACTGTTTACACAGCGCAGTCGATTAATTATGAAGAAATCCGAACACCTATCTGCCATTTTACATTAGAATCATTTGTAATAATCTCTGTTAAGCAATGTAACAGGTGTGATTTGTGTATCAAATGAAATTTCACTACAGTTGTGTGAAATGATCCAAGCGTAACTGCTCTTTTTTCCAGTGAGTGTCGTGAGAGGCGACTAAGGGCGTTTTATGATCAAGAAACGGGCAGTAGCGTCCCTCTTGAAACATCACCAAAGCCTAATTGCGGTTACCATCCCGCTTGTCAAGCGTGGCAACTACTAGAAAATCCTCTTTTATGAGGTAGGCTTATGTTCAGCAATGGACAGTTACCGGCTAATATAATAATAATAAGGGGAAAATGGATTGTTAGCAGCCCCATTTGGAGTTTAACAGTCCCATATATTGCTAGCAATATACTCCTATCAGGTCGACCTCCACGTGATTCTCCCTGGAAACTATCGTGAATAATTGTTGTGGAATTGGTCATGATGAGCTAACTGACTTGCTTCATTCTCACATATTATCTCTCACTGGTGTCCCGCCAGTGTATACCGATAACAGGGTTACCATACTATTATCATCCATTAAAAAGAAATATAAAACATACATACATATCTGTCATGCCTGTCTCCCATTAGGGTAGGCAGAAACAATGGAACGCCAAATGTTTCGATTCAAACAAACCTCTTTCGCTTCTTCCACATTCATCAATCTTGTCATACACGCTCGTCGGTTACGGGTACTTTTAATTTGGCCCTTCTTCAGCACGTCGCCTATTTGGTCGACATACGTCCATCTAGGGCGGCCCCTACCGACATCTCCATTCATTCTTGCTCGATAAATCTCTTTCGTAATTCTTCTTTCATCCATCCTCTCCAAATGACCAAACCAACGCAACATTCCTTTTTCGATTTTTGTCACTACATCGTCTTTATATAAAAATAATAATAAATATTGTATACCTGCGGCGGCGGGCGCGCGGGCCGTGCGTAGAGCGCGGCGCGGCCGGCCAGCTCGGTGCGCAGGCGCCACGCCGCCGCCGCGCGCCGCCGGGCGCCGGCTGCGCGCGCGCCGCCCCGCGCCGCCTGCCACCTGCCCGGCGCTCGATTTAGTACGTACTACTCGCGTTCCAGCTTTACACGACTACATGGAGTTATCAGGAATTATATACAGCCTTTTGTTACCCGTTGATAATGAAGCTTTCTACAGGTTCTTTCTTTTGTTCTTTTTTTTTAAATCGGTTAAGTATATTTGAGTTACAATCAAATTTTTCCTCTTAATAATATTAGTGTAGATTGATGTAAAGTAACCTGAATTTTCATGAATGTAGTTATAAAAATAAACTTAAATAATAAATAAAAATAAAATGTTAGCTTTTATGACTGATAAATTTGAGAATAAATTTTAAGTTTATTTATTTATTTTTATACTTTATTTACAGGGTACAGGAAAATGATACCTTAGTCCACAGGAATGGCAACGAATGGGGATATCATGGATGAAACAATATACTCTGTTATGTCCATGGTACTGTTCATGTCTATAGACGATGATTACCACTTTCCATCAAGTGGACCGTGAGCTTGTTTGCCATTTTAAGTTGCATAAAAAAATGCTAATAAAAAATGATAAATAGATAACAAAATTTATTAAATATTAATTTATTATATTTACTGATGAATCTTACAATGAAATCACGTTTACCAATTGGGATTTTATTAATTTAATTTATGAATAAGTTATTTTATAATGTTTCGTAAAAACGGGAGACCTTATTCTATCAACAATATTCAGCTTGATCTATTTCATGAACATATTCCTGCTAATTATTAATTCTCTCTAAATAAGCCTTTCCCAAAATGGGCAATAACGCCCCCTTGTGGGCGCTGCAGGCCTAAAGGAAGGCGGTAAGGGATCAAGAAAAAAAATGGGGGCGTTGTGTAGAGACTTAGGGGGTGATTTGTTGATCTTGAAGTAATAGTGGTTTTTAAGTAGGTGAAAAAATGGGGGCGCTAAAAAACAATTTATTCTCAAAGTGGGCAGTGGACAAGATAAGTTTGGGAACATGCATTCTGCATTTAGAGCAGGGGCATTTTTACAATCTTTACCTTGTTAGTAATTGGAGCACCCTCGCCCGCTGACCCGCACTCCGCAACGCCAAGCAAGCGGCGCGCATTGACAGTATCTTGCCGCGTTCGCTGCTCTGCGACTTACTCGTGAACGACAACCTCATTGCCGTCATGTAATACTCTAATGATAATGGCAATAAATCTAAAAATAAAAAGAAATACACACTTAGTAAGACTATGAGATTATATCCTGAGCCGGATAATGATTAAAACAATGATATGCTTGATGTTTAAAATAACAGTAGACACCTAATCTATAATCAATCTTGTAATCTTTTGGAGGACACAATAAAGAGTATCTATCTATCTATCTTGAACATTTTGAAATTAATTTAATAACTGATAAACAATGTACTAAATAATATTATACAGTCCATAACTTGTACGATCCGTGTTTGCTAATGCTATAAATTTTATAGTAAGTATGTATCCATATCTATGCATTTTAATATTTATACTAAGCACAATAAATAGATTTTACTACTAGAATTTTACTACCCTACTAGAATTAGTAACTAGTACTAATTCTAGTAGGGCACCGTATAGCTTCTGGCATAGAATAGGCTACCCTTCCTTTCCCGTAGGTGTCGTAAGAGGTAACTAAGGGAGCTTATGGCGAAGGTATGAGCAGCAGTGTTTCTCTTAAAATATCGCCAAAAGCCAGTGGCAGTTGCCAAGTCAACCCGTCTGCCAAGCATGGCATCTACTGGAAAAACCCCTTTTGTGGGAGAGATTATGTTCAGCGGTTAACACTTAATGACTAACCTAATACTTAATATTTTGTTGGATTAAAATTCGAAAATTGACAGATAGTCTGAAGATAAAATGTTACAAACATTGCTTAAAAATAAATACATGCTAAACTGCAGTCTTTCATATAGATAGTTCTGTATAATAGAGAAATTCACCTCGACCTTTGTACCAATTGCCGTACAAGAGGTAATGCTCCCAATTGTTGGGCTCGAGTTCGACGAGCTTGTCCAATATTGGCCTCTTGTCGTCCTCGTCCGTTAGAAGCAGCAGTTCCAGATATGCCTGCACGAACCGAGGCTCCAGTGAGATACACCGCTCCAACATCTTCAAGGAATCGCATACGCGATTCTTTTTTCTGTAAACAATACGATTTTATATTAAACGAAGCTCAGGTTATGGAATCAGCTCCCTGTCGAAGATTTTCCAAGAGATTACAGCGTGGGGTTCTTAAAAAAAGGAGCAAAAAGATCTTCAGGGTCGGCAACGCGCGTGTAATGCCTGGTACTGCAGGCGTTTATAGGCTACGGTAACCGTTTACCATCAAGTGAGCCATATGTTTGTTTGCTCCAAAAAGACTAGCTTTTGTCCGCAAACTCGTACGCGTATATTTTGAAAGCAGGTAGCCGGTTCTAGACGGCGTGTCAAGATAAAACATACACCAGACTTTAAGTTAGACTTTTGGCAATATTTTGGAAACCTTATCCAAATTGGAACAGTAGTTTTTCATGATGTTGGAACAAACACAATATCTGTAATATTGTTTTGATTTTTATTGCTCTAATTAAGATTCCTCGTATAGTTTTTCTTAACGTCTATCTACAGGCATAATTTAATTACAATTTTATTATGTAAGTAAAAGAAATAAACTTCTAAAAGCAAGTAAGCCATTTGATTGCACTGTAAGCCTATTTTCTTTTACATTATTGATTGTTCAGGGTTGGAGTTGGTACAAGTGGAAAATGGTACTTGGTGATTGATTTTGTAATAAAATAAATTGTACAGAGACGAGTGTACGTTATAGTTAATAAGTTATTAAGTCAAAACTTACCTGTACAACTTGGCAAGATTGTAATGTGCATTAATATGATCACGGTTGTATTTGAGAGCTTGCAAGAAATGGTGTTCCGCTCGTCCTGATTCCATCACCAGTGTGCCGAGATTGTTGTGAGCACTAGCATAACTTGGCCACAGTCTAGAATAGTTATAATACTTTAAATCTGATATTAAAACGAGCATGCGAATAGTGAGTGAGAATATCGTTATAGAAAAGGAATTAGCCAATAATAAGTGTTGAAGATCACCAATACAAAAGAAATCAACTGCCAACCATTTTTCAATGGCTTAAAATCAATTATTGGTAGTTTTATTAAAAAAAAACCTCAAATTATAATTTGCATGCTTAATATTGGCTAAATCTGGAACTGTATAAGAACTTTGTCATTATCTATTCAAAGCAAATAAAGTATTCTATTCTGGTCAAATAAAGGGTGAAGATTTTGGGATAACAGAATTGATAAAGGATTTGAGTAAACTTTAGACATCTTAATTAATAGGCAACTCTTACATTAGTTTTGGATATAGTTATAAAGACAGACATAAAATAAAACATGGGCACCATGAACTGTGAAAATTTTTGGTAACATACTTAACATTGGTGTATGGATTTTCGTTAATTAATCCAAATTTTAGACATTTTAATAAATAGGCAACTCTTACATTAGTTTTGGATATAGTTATAAAGACCGACATAAAATAAAACATGGGCACAATGAACTGTGAAAATTTTTGGTAACATACTTAACATTGGTGTATGGAGTTTCGTTAATTAATCCAAATGTATATTTGAAAAATTCAGGAGTAAATTTTTGTAGAAATTTGATATACAAGATCATTCTTAGCCTAATTGGATTCTATTCATCCTAAATTTTACATACTCAGCAGTTGAGAATAATAATTACCATAAATACTTAATTTTTTTTTTAAATCATATATATATTATGTTATATATAAAAACACTTTGACCAATACAAACAGAGAGGCTGTCTGTTTGTATTGATTTTATTGTTTGTAATGCTCGTATACGTAATCGTGCCCTTAAATTGACTCGAGAAGATCTACAGTATATGGTAATTTTTATAGATCTTGACAACTATAATTCTCCAAAGTATGTACTTACATGCATACGAATTGTACATACTTGATACATATAAGTACGTTAATTTAATCTGAAGTGGCAAACACATACCAAGTAGGCATGTTTTAATAAAAAATTTTGGCACTTTGCACAAGGAGTTTAACTAGACGAAATTAAAGTAATCAACTTGTAAATTATTTCAGCAGAACTATCTAATACAAAGCGTAAATTGAAATTGCATTCATCTCTTATTGATGTCTGAGTAATTGAAATTTAGAAATATGTTACCAATACTTACCTCAACGCCTCTTTATAATGTCTAATGGCACTCTCTTGTTGCTCAATGTCCTTCAAAAAGTTGGCGAAATTGTAATGCAACTTTGCATTGTGGGGTAACACTGATAGGTCAGCTCTGAAATTAATGTATTTCATTAATTAAATCATTTACGGGAAACAAATTGAAATGTCAGAGACAATCTTGCAGTATCATCTTTTTGCAGAATACATCCAAAAAAACATCAAGCAAAAGCCATCTGCTTTAAGAGCAGAGTTTAATGTTTTACTAAATAAAATTAACATTATTTATATGGAGTGAAGTTTAAATCATTAACATAATTTTAATAAAGTGTTTCTACCTGAGAAACAGAACGCTTTTCCCAAAATAAACTTTAGCATCACTCATACTAACTTTAACGTGGACGCGTATGAGAGGTTCAAACTTTTTTTATTGCTTTCCAACACAATGTCACAGGTATTTGTTTTGGAAAACAAATGCTTAATTTTAGAGGCAGAATATATTACTAAAAGTGTGGCAACGAATTTGATTTCACCTTGTTTGAAATTCTTTTTATTCTGAAATTATTGAAAACTCTTTTAAAGTAATAATATAAGACTTTAGAAAGTTCTCAATAAACTAAAAAAAATATAATCACTTTCTTTAGAAGTTCTTGGTTTTGCGGCAAAAGGTTTGTAACTTCTCCAAGGATTGAAATCATTACCTGAGCAAGGTCTCCCTTGTCCGCCACTCCCTATTCCTCAGATGTGTCCTAGCCACTCCAGCAGCAACCAGCGCCGCGACGACCACCACCAGCAACCGTTTGGCACCGCCATAATGTCGCCACAATAACTGAATGCCGTACACCGTTATGAGGACTGATCCCACACTGCAATATCAATCAGATGGTTACATTTTATTATAATTAACATTTCAGTAATGTAATGTAAAAAACGATAGTATCCAGGGGGAACTGCGCGGAGGTTGACCTGATATTGATAGCAATGGGGATGATGATGTTTGATGGGAAAGGGATTGTTAGTAATGGACAGCCCTCTCTATTACTAACAATCCCTTCCCCCCTAAAAGTACTGTTACAAAACTATTTACCGAAAAATTTAATACCTGGGTATGTATAATACTCTCTCGGCCACCACGAATCCAACTGTAACGAGCAGGTTTGAAGCTGGCAGATATGGTATTACAAGCAACATTAAACCCACAACTGCGGGGGTGTGACGTTGTAACTGAAAAAAAAAAACAAAATTTTATTCTTTATTGCATCGTAAACTACATACGAGTAGATAGTACATTTATAAATATTATGAGCAAGATTGGACTTATCTCTTATTCTTTAACTAGCGACCCGCCTCGGCTTTGTATAGGTACAATGCTGATACTAAATAGTTCAGCCAGGCCCCCATTACATTACGACATTACATTAGAAACCTCTAAAATTATCAGTGTTTCTCTATTATATTATGCATGTATTATATATATAAACCTTTCTCTTGAATCACTCTATCTACTAAAAAAACCGCATCAAAATCTGTTGCCTAGTTTTTAAGATCTAAGCATATATAGGGACAGACAGACGGGAATCGACTTTATTTTATACTATGTAGCGAAGTCTTGACTTTATATGTCTATAGGCGACGGTTACCACTTTCCATCAGGTGGGCCGTCAGCTTGTTTTACATTCTAAGTTGTATAAAAAAAAAAAATAGTCATACAGGTATCTCAGGATCATTCTGCATAGCTATTTATTGGAAGGGCCTATATACGTCCTACCTCAATAAATGTAAATTGATACGTCACCGCAACTGAACACAGGACAAACGAGACAGTAACCTTTGGCGGATTATCCTTTCTCATGGATCCGCCAATATAACTTAAGGTTGTGTTCCTCAAAAGAAAACCAATCTCAATCGTGGCAATACTATTTATTTTGATTGAAAAACTAAACTATGGAATCGATCTGCCTAAAAGTACCAGAGGGAGACTTTGTACAAAAGTCGATTGCTTGGGTACCTCTGTCCCATTCGTGTTTCAACCGTGAAGCAGTTGTGTTTGCATGGTCGTGTCTCGGTTTAAAGGGTGGGATATGGCGTGAATTTTATGGGTACAGAGGAATAACACCTGAGTCCTCAGGAATGGCAACGCATGGGGGGTATCATGGGCGAAACAGTATACTCTGTTATGTCCATGGTACTGCTCATGTCTATAGGCGACGGTTACCACTTTCCATCAGGTGGGCCGTCAGCTTGTTTGCCATTCTAAGTTGTATAAAAAAAAGGTATATCTTTTCTGAATTAAAAAAAAAACTTTTTTAAATCTGTATATATTCTGTAAATGATGGAGTTATGAAGTAATAAGCATGAAAAATATTTAAAAAAAATACGTCAAATTTGGTTGAATCTTTCCTTTTTTAATTGACTCCAAGTTTGTTAAAAAAACATATTTACTAGCAAGGGGGAATATTCTTTAAAATGATGATGACGTATTGAATGTCCCATAAATCAATATTTTTATGAGTAGAAATCAGCCAAATGATTATTTTTTTACCTCTAAATCCATCAGGCATCTGTACGAGAGTGCAACCAAAGTGATGATGGCGGCACACGTGAGCAAGTTCCTCGGATCCCAGCCGCTGGTCACCAGTGGTATCGAACCCATTTGCCAGTCATGGCTGAGGGTCCAGGGGCACAGCAGTAGCCACCAGTTGAATGCAGCTAGGTAGCAGAAAGTCATTAACCTGAAAGTGTAAATTTTATAAAATTACAACCAGCAACTTGCGTAGTCTTCATGCATCTTAAAAGCATTAAATGGTTGAACAATTTTAAGATCAATTTTTATTTGAAACTAGCTAAGGAACTACTAAGCTAGTGAGCTTTCGAAGTATTTCGAGTTAGCGACTCCTATACAAAATTGTCACTTTATTTTTCAATTTTTCAGATAAATTTTAGAGTATTTCCAATATTTTTTAACCAATAAAACCAAAAAAGAATTCAAACCGGTCAAGCGTTGAATTCAGTTTTAACGAAACTAACGAATGGACGATATATAATATATATATAACAAAATATTAATTTGTCTATGTATGTATCTATCCGTGCGAAGCCGGGGCGGATCACTAGTGTTTAATATAATTATATTCACTTTTAATTTGTAATTATATGCAAAATAAAAATACTAGAGGGAAACTTTGTAGAAAAGTCATTTGCTTGGGCACCTACGTCCCATTCGTGATTCAACCGTGAAACAGTTGTTTGCATGGCTGTGTTTCGGTTCGAAGGATGGGATATGGCAGTGAATTTACAGGATACAGAGGAATAACACCTGAGCATATGGAAATAATGAATATATAGAAATGGACCAGGAATGGCAACGTATGGGAGTATCATGGACGAAACAGTATACTCCATTATGTCCATAGTACTGCCTCTTTCCATCAGATGGGCCGACAGCTTGTTCGCCAATCCAAGTGCATAAAAAAATCTAATCGAAGAAGAATAATATAGAAAATAAAAGAATGATAAAAAATTCAACCATAAGATCATACAAACCTGACAATGAATGAAGGATGGAACGCTGGAGGGTTGTCTTGCGGTGAGAAAGCTGGCAGGGAACCCTGCAGCAACGCTAGTCTCGCGCCTATAAGTAACGCCAGAGCAATGAACACTCGTACCAGTCGCCCCCAGTGGCTGTCCGTTTTCCATCTCCATTTCACTGCTGACGAAGGTCTGAAATATGTAAACAGTACAAATTATTAGGTTTTTTAAGGTGCCCTTTCATCATCATCTTCATATCAGCCTTTAACTGTCCACTGCTGAACATAAGCCTCCCCCTAGGGACGTTTTCCTTGGTCATTGGTAGTCGCTATGCTTGGCAGATAGATTTTTTTTAATGGGTGAAAATGGAATGGTAACCCTACCCGCGCTATCAAAATACACCGACGAGGCACCAGTGGAAAATGATAGGTGAGAATGAATGCAGTTCAGTTGGCCCACCATGATGAATTCGACAAGAATTAAACATGATGGTTTCCAGGGGAACCGCGTGGAGGTCGAGCTGAGAGGGTATTTTGCTAGTAATGGGGCTATTAGACCCCATTACTAATAATCCCTTTCCCCCTGGCAGATAGATTGGCAACCGGAATTAGGTTATGGAGACGTTTGAGGAGGGACGCTGCTGTCCATTCCTCGCCTGCCCTTAGTCTCTTACAACATCCACGGGAAAGGAAGCGGTGGCCTATTCTATGCGGGAACCACATGGGAAAATAAATAAGTGCCCTTTAATTTATAATAAACTCGCCTAAAAAATACTTGTACTAAAGTTACCTATAAACTTTCTTTTGTAATCTATTTTTAAAGTTCTTGATGGCCTTTTATTGAGTTAAAGTTTAACTTGAATAAGCGATTTCAAACGCCAAAAGGTGAAAGTTTATTATATTTAAACAATGCAACTTTATCGAGTTTGAATTTGTTTGATATTTCAATAGATTCCTTGGTTGCGACTTTGATCATTTTAATCATTCGATTGCGGTCGTTTGGACACTGTACCACATATATTAACGTTTACAGGGCCATTTGAACAAATTCGCATTTACAGATTACATTTAAAGTTTATTTATTATAATCATATTTACAAGTGAAATGTAGGTTCGAAACTTCATAATATGTCTATCATTAGATTTACTATATGGTTCCGGCACTGAATGGGCCATCCCTTCCTTTCCCATGGGTGTCGTAAGAGGCGATTAAGGGAAATTAATGATCGAAGAATGGGCAGTAGCGTCCCTCTTAAAACATCATTAAAGTTTATCATTTGCCCACGATACCTCCCATGCGTTGCCATTCCTGAGGACTCAGGTGTTGTTCCTCTGTACCCTGTAAATTCACTGCCATATCTCACCCTTCAAACCGAAACACAGCTATGCAAACACAACTGATTCACGGTTGAAATGTTCTTATGTGTGTGCTCACGAATATAATTCCTTTTTTTTTTTACAACAGAGGATGCAAACGAGCGTGCGGCTAACCTGATGGTAAGTGATTACCGCCGCCCATTATCACCCACAACACCAATGGCATTGCAGGTGTGCTGCCGGACTTTTAAAAAGGAATATGCTCTTTTCTTGAAGGTTATGATGTCGTCTCGATTTATACTGCTGATGGAAGTTAATTCCAAAGTTTTGCCAATAGTGCACGTTTAGCCGGCGGGTTGCCAACCGCAGTTAGGCTTTTAGAGATATTTTAAAAGGGACGCTGCTGCCTATCCCTCGTCCCCCCTCCCTCGCCTTTTACGACACCGACGGGAAAGGAAGGGATGGACCATTCTATGCCGGGACAACACGACGATGACGATTATATTAGTATGTAAATGTATTAAAAAAGGTTAATTACTTTGAAATCGGGTTCCAACATCGATATAAATCGAAAGTCACGTTGAATAGTAGAACTGTAAGGCCTGTCTCCTTCGCCAGCATGCTGAGAGCAGCCAGCACGATACTTGACCAAACACGATGTCGACCCGACGACCTGAAAGTGTTAAATATACATACATTTATTACGGATAACAATTACCTTTTTAATTTAGAAAAATATCAGTTTTATGAGACTCATACGAGAGACAATACTACCGAATGCAAATAGTACAATAAAAAAATCAGTGTCGGGTAGACACAAATATATACAAATGATACAACTCCGTCATATGTAAACCGATTTGGAAGTTTGTTTAACCTTTTTTTTTTTTTATGCAACTTAGAATGGCAAACAAGCTAACGGCCCACATGATGCAAAGTGGTAACCGCTGCCTATAGACTTGAGTAGTACGATGGACATAACAGAGTATACTGTTTCGCCGATGATACCCTCTAATGCGTTGCCATTCCTGAGGACTAAGGTGTTATTCCTCTGTACCCTGTAAATTCACTGCCATATCCCACCCTTCAAGCAGAATATACTTACAGATTAGTTCCATAAAATTTTAATCAAAATCAGTTTAGTAGTTTAGTTTTTAAATCAAAATATTTAATTCTGTCACAATTGGAGTCTTTATTTTTAAATTTAATATATATATTCTTTATTGCACTAAAACATACAGTAACAACAATAAGTTAATAACAATGTTAGCAAAGGCGAACTTATCTCTAAAAGAGATCTCTTCCAGTCAACCTAACACAGTGGCATAGGAAGTAGTGACTTTAATATGAAATCGATTCTGAAATTGTGATTAAAATATTATAAATTTTTGACGCTAGTACACTTATATTATAGATATTAGTTATTTGAGTTTAAATCCATAGCGATAATTTGATTTTTCCAAGATAATTCTTTGAAAATTTCACGTGTGGACTATTAGAAGTTAAGCTCATTATAACAAATGAGAACGTAGATACATACGTATATAATGTAGGCACCTATACATAACGATATCGACACCAAGGCAAATCAAATCACGGACAAATTACCGAGCAATTTAATAAGGCGTTACTCAAAATTGGATGAAATATTCTCAAGGAGATGTTGGGATAATTTTCGTAATTTTGTTATGTTTGACGCGTACGGAGAACGGTAGGTACTCGTGGTATCTATTCGGGCGTTCTCTTTACGTATTGATTACATTTTTCTTCTTACCTCACTGGGTATATGTAATTCTTTCAATGTAACAGTATTATTTGCCACCAACGATATGAAAAAAATAAGTTAGACACAAAGCCACAGAAAATTATTCACTGATAACAGTTTGCGCAGTAACGTTTCATACGTTACTGCGCAAATTGTAAATTACAAATATTAGTAATTTTATTTATTTTTGTTATTTTAATCACCTTTCCTTTTTTAAATTATTTAACAATGTTGTAAAATGCTTGATTCTCTCTCCCTTCGTCCACTTCATTACTGAAGGTCGTGTCCTTGAAAGGTGTCTGCTGCCTCTCTTATGATGTTACTCCATTTCGCACGGTCCTCAGCCTCTCACAGGGCGGCTGCAATTGACAGTCCCGTAATGGCGGTTACTTGGTCCGACCATCGACTAGGTGATCGTCCGGGTGGTCTTTTTCTCTCTATCTTGCCTACAAACATTAATTTGTCCAGATTGTCGGACTGTTTTTTGTTGTGACATTTATGTACATATATAATGTACAGTCAATATTGTGTACACCTACTTTAGATATGCATATCAGCATATTACACAAGAAGTTTAATTTAATTTATGTATTATAATATAATACATAAATTAAATTAAATTTATAATGTATACTGCTGGTATTCCTATTTCAAAATTAATAAAATAAAAACTTCTTTAGACATTGTTTGCAGCACAATTTTTTTTATTATTTAAAATAATAATATTGATCTATACTTTCGGTACTTTATAGTGAAAAGCTGGATAAGCAAATTTATGCATCTGAATTTAAAACTGACCGACTTGCATACAAACATTCAATACCTTTTTATCCCTTTCGGAATTGAATTTTCAAGAGTTCTCTCTTATCTCACATCTGCGGCATACAAATAATCCACTGTGTAAATTTGGTTTTTATAACTTCACTCCTTGCATCCTCTGAATATCGTATGAAATGGTTGGGATAACGAATCGCAGCAGGAAAGAAAATGTTTAAAGTAAAAACTTAAATTTGTCCTTGAAAATTAATGGGTTATTATATTCCATTTTAGGCACTTCTTATGCCCATTATCTCTTCTGAGTAGGCTAAACCACCCAGTTTAAAATGAACATAAAAATGTGTATGTGTATGTATGAAATTTTAAAGCAGTTTCACAGAGAATTGAATTTGAAGCCTCCTTTTAGCGAAGTAAAGGTTTTACTATGCTGTGTAATTATTCGGATACAATGTTTTTCTTATTGTTAGGAAGGCACTAGAGGCATTGTTAATGAGCAGACGGTCCACCTGATGGGAAGCGGCTACCGTTGCCCATGAACACCTGCAATACGAGATTAGTTGGTGCCTTTCGATTAGAGGTGTTACTGCCTTTCGATTGTTTATAGTGTTAAATTGAGTGAATTTACTGGGTACAGAGAAATAACACCTGAGTCCTCAGGAATGTCAGCGCATGGACCATGGTATCATGGACGAAACAGTTTACTCTGTTATGTCCATGGTACGGCTCATGTCTATAGGCGATGGTTACCACTTTCCATCAGGTGTATCGTCAGCTTGTTTACCATTCTAAGATGTATAAAAAAAAAAGTTGAGTGAGGCTGATTGAGCATTTGACTACGTTAACCGTTTACTATCAGACAAGCTATATGCTTGTTTGCCACCTTCTGGTATAAAAAAAGTTGCGTTTACTTATATTATTTTTTTTTTAAATTAAACGCTGTTTCTGTATTAGGCAATATGACGCTTAACTAACGTACATTAAGTAACCGAGAGGCCATTCAAAAACAGTACTGTAAACACGAGACGAAAAATAAGACGCTCTTCCGCATTAACACAAAGCCCCTTATCCTTTTCACGGTATCCAAGGCGCTACAAGAGTTGTGCGACCAAATATGAGTCCAGGGTTAAACAGCGTCAAAGTTGGCAAACAACAAAGCCGCGCAACTCGGAGCGTACAACTCTTTAGCTGGAGTTGTGAAGTACGCCGAACTATGCGGGGGCGAAGGGGGGGGGGGGCGTTCCCATCTACGGGATTAGTGTTGTTAAGTAACAAAACTGCTCGCCCGCCTATCCTCACTATTGTTTGGTGAGAAAACTGTGCAACTGTATACGTTTGGGTAAATATCTTAAAGGCGTAACACAGTGTGATGATGCTGTAATATTTTATGATATTTATTTATTTATTTAAATTTTAATGCACAGTGATACTGTGTGCATATAGTGGACTTAACACCAGACAGTGCTCTTTGCTAGCCAACCATTGGACAAACCGAGACATAAGTAGGCGGTGCATTATTGAATTGAGGTAATATAAAAAGTAATGCTTAATAAATTAATATATTATAAATATATAAATAGACTTATATAAATATACATATAATATAATAAATAAATATACATATACATGCATAAATATTACTGATTCAAACAAAGTATATGTACAGATATTTTAAAATATTAGATACAGATAGATACTCTTTATTGTTTCCTCCAAAAGATTACAATAATAAACTTATTATAGATACAAACAATTACAAGAAATGATCACAGTGAGATAACAATGGGCGGCCTTATTGCTAAAAGCGATCTCTCCCAGGCAACCTTTGGATGGAGAGGAGTAATTATAAACAGTTTGATCGGACGCACGATGAAAATTCTGACGTAAAAAGATAATAGTTGCCACAATACAGTTGTCACGCTTAGCAGTCGGATTGGCAACCACAGTTAGGGTTTAGAGATGTTTTAAGAAGGACGCTGCTGCCCATTCCTCGCTCTTATTTAGTCGCCTCTTAACCCTTAAAAGCTTGATTTTTTACTGTGTTTACTAATGGGGAAAAATAGTAAAAAAATCAAAACGACATTTTTATATATTTATTTTGAAAAAAAACATTTGGTATCATTTTTGATACTTTAGGCATTACGGTAATCAAAATATTTAAATTTATTTAACAATGAAACAATGCAAACCCCGCTATCAAATTTGAAACGTCAGGCATTTAAGGGTTAAGACACCCATGGGATAGGAAAGGGTGGCCTATCCTATGCCTGAACTACACTACTAACGTAAATTACGAACGATATTTGACATAAAATATTATAGAAACTTCATGGTATGTTACACGCTTTATATACGTTCCGCGTAGTGCGTTTATACAAGAGATTATAAACATACTTCTGTAAATAGAATAACTAAATTGAATAAACATAAGCGTCTGTATGTTTCTATCAAATTATGGTATATTTATTCTGTTTGTAGCAGCTTATAGCGCCGGGGAAGGTGCCCTGTTGTGAAGCATGGATTGTGTTTGACATTCGCTCGTACTAATTTAGGAAGCGATGTTTTATAATTTAATTGAATATCATTATCTGGTTTATTTTAACAGGATCAAGTAATTAGTGTGATTAAATGGAATTTATTATCACTTGCTATTAATACAGTAAGTGATAAAAAAAGCTTATATTTTATTTACAATGAACTAATCTTAGTTGATAGTTACGAGACTACAAACATTGTAGATTACAAAGTTGAGAATATGCAGATTTCAGATTTTGAATTTTGTATATTTTGAAATTTTCTAATGATAAAATTAAAAAAAAATCATTATAAAATAAATCATATACTATTCCAAAAAGGAAGGAATGTTGCGTTGGTTTGGTCATTTGGAGAGGATGGATGAAAGAAGAATTACGAAAGAGATTTATCGAGCAAGAATGAATGGAGATGTCGGTAGGGGCCGCCCTAGACGGACGTATAAACCATATAGGCGACGTGCTGAAGAAGGGCCAAATTAAAAGTACTTGTAACCGGCGAGCGTGTATGAAAAGATTGATAAATGTGGAAGAAGTGAAAGAGGTTTGTTTGAATCGAAGCATTTGGCGTTCCATTGTTTCTGCCTACACTAATGGGAGACAGGCGTGACAGATATGTATGTATGTATGTATTTTAAAAAAGACGTGCATACTATAAATAAACAAGTTAATGTATCCAGGGATGTATTAAGAATATTAAGATCCACGAATGGATGGAATAGGTGAAAAGTTAATAACAAGAAATAAAATATTTTAAAATTAAAAAATATTTAAGAAGCAGTTTTATTCATTTTGAAATACTTTTAATATTAGTATGATATAGTATTACTATATGTTTAATAATTAACTAGGTATTATTGAATTTTATCTTTAATTGTGCGATTTTTATCCTTGAACATTCTATAGTTTTCTTTCAACTTTTCAAAAAAGCTTGACTGTATGAAATCCCTTCATGGGATAAGTCCGCCGTTGTATATTATATCTTTTAATGTCTCCAATGTAAACTATGTACAATAAAGATTTTACAATACAATACAATATTAATACAAATGAATAATGCGTCAAATATACCAGAGGGAGACTTTGTACAAAAGCCGATTGCTTGGGTACCTCTGTCCCATTCGTGTTTCTACCGTGAAGCAGTTGCGTTTGCATGGCTGTATTTCGGTTTGAAGGATGGGATATGGCGTGAATTTACTGGATATAGAGGAATAACACCTGAGTCCTCAGGAATGGCAACGCATGGGGGTGGTACTTTAAAATAAAATAATAACTAATATAAAAATATAAAATTGTAAATACGTTATGTGTATTACGAAGAGCCTGAATCAGTTTATGCTTTTTTGAAAGAATTTATAATCCCAATTTAATACTTTCCCAAAACTTATTTAACAGAATAAATATCGTTACGAAATTATATTAAAATTGGATAATATAAATTACCATTACATCTTAAGGTTACTTTACTTAAATCATTAAAAATTTTAATCCAACAATTAAACTTTTTTCAAAAGTTCGACGTTTAATTTATTTGTGATCAGCCATTATGTTTTTGTAATTGTAATGCTTACCCATAAAAGTTTAATCTCTAGAATGAAATAAAAAAATTTATTACTTATTTCGAAAATAGGTTTTTTTTTATTATACAACTTAGAATAGCAAACAAGCTAACGGCCCACCTGATGGAAAGTGATAACCGTCGCCTATAGACATGAGCAGTACCATGGACATAACAGAGTATACTGTTTCGCCCATGATACCCCCATGCGTTACCATTGCTGAGGACTCGGTTATTATTCCTCTGTACCCTGTAAATTCATGCCATATTCCACCCTTCAAACCGAAACACAACTGCTTCACGGTAGAAACACGAATGGGACAGAGGTACCCAAGCAATCGACTTTTGTACAGTCTCCCTCTGGTAGTTGTGAATAATAGCTTATATTATATAAAGTAATATACTACATGACTTATGTATATAACTAGCAGAAAAGGCTGTTCAGGATCTCCCAGCCGTTAAAGACTTGTCCCGTGCAAGCAACACAAGCCTGTTTACTTAAGTATAGTTGCGGTTCTAATCCTCTTAAGTTTCACCCTAGAGAGAGCCGTGAACGAATAACATGCAATTTACAGGGGAGACGCTTACCTCTACTGTTATGTAAAATAAATACAGTAATACTTCTATTATATGTGTGCGACAACAAGCATACAGCCAATCTGATGGTAAACGATCACTGTTTACTATAGAATTACGTTATTTGGGTAATAATGTAGAGAAATAATATTATAATTTAATCCATCGTCATATCAGCCGTTAACTGTCCACTGCTGAACATAGGCCTCTCCATTTGTTGTGAGGGGTGGGGTGGGGGGGGGGGGGGGAGTTACAGTATTTAGCAGGCATTGATTAAAATCTATAAAACATCTCGTTAAAAAATAAAAGCAATAATATGTATATATGTGTAGTAAAATCTACTGATAATAATCTTTCCTTATTTTATCACATCTAATTATGACCGTGTGGTCCCGGCATCGAATGGGTCATCCCTTCCTTTCCCATGGGTATCATAAGAGGGGTCTAAAGGAATTTAATGGTCGAGGAATGGGCAGCAGCGTTTCTCTTAAAACATCTCCAAAGCTTAAGTGTGGTTGCCAATCCGCCTGCTGGGGGTGCCAACTACTGACAAAATACCCAAGGTGGACGCTTATGTTCAGCAGTGGACAGTTAAAGGCTGGTATGATGACGATGATGAGCATAGCCTTATCTTAATCTGGATTTAATTAAATAAGATACCATATTCATTATTACGTTGCACATTTAATATTTCACCAATGATTCAAACATACATACGTCTAGTTAATAAAATGTAGTAAAAATCCAGTTTACATATTAAAATAATTACTCGTATAGTATTAATGCAATTGAAATTGTCTCCGCTAGAGAGTGCGCTGAGATATTACGTAATTGGGACGTGTCCTATGGGATTCAGGATCATGGAGTCTGTGGTGGAAGCATGCATTATTATATTCCAAGATAATTATACTATTTGCATTAAATAATAGATTGCAAACTATACATACGTGGTTAAATTTATGTAAATATTTATTTTTATTTCTGTTTAGCACTATTACTGCCCACTCACTACTTGCTATGCCACTGCGTTAGGTTGACTGGAAGAGATCTCTTTTAGAGATAAGTTCGCCTTTGCTAACATTGTTATTAACTTATTGTTGTTACTGTATGTTTTAGTGCAAAATGAATATATATATTAAATTTTAAACTATTAGAATTATATTGTTTAAAATTTCGTAAGCACACATTATCCTCTAATCCAATAACTATCGGTTAAACTATCGTATAATTAGATCGAAGAAGCTCGATTAGTTTCGGAGTCAGTTCGTGATCCTTAGTCATGAGCGACTGTGATGCGAGCGCGAGTCTGACTGTACGCCTCGGCCTGCTGAGCGCGAGCTCTAGTCAAGTCTTGATGCTCATGACAAAGGAGCACAGAATTGATTTTTTTTTATACAACTTAGTCTGGCAAACAAGCTGACGGCCCACTTGATGGAAAGTGGTAACCGTCGCCTATACACATGAGCAGTACCATGGACATAAAAGAGTATACTGTTTCGCCCATGATACCCCCCCCCCCCCCCATGCGTTGCCATTCCTGAGGACTCAGGTGTTATTCCTCTGTACCTTGTAAATACACGCCATATCCCACCCTTCAAACCGAAACGCAGCCATGCAAACACAGCTGCTTCACGGTAGAAACACGAATGGGACAGAGGTACCCAAGCAATCGACTTTTGTACAAAGTCTCCCTCTGGTAAATTGGAGATTCCGAAACTAGTCGATCTTTTTCGATCTAGTTACACGCAAGTTAAACCGGTAGTTATTACACGAAATGACTAGAATTATTTTAAGAGAGTATTCTAAATGATACCTTTTTTTTTGTCTTTAAATATACAACGATCTGTCTCCTTGCTGGGAAAATAAATAGTATATTTGACGTATACTTTAATGGCGTGCTCAGTATACGACTTGAGTCGCATACTTGATACCTTTTTCTAAACTTACAAAAGTAAATAACATAAAAATCTAAGAAGATATTATTCCTCACCAGAGGGAGACTTTGTACAAAAGTCGATTGCTTGGGTACCTCTGTCCTATTCGTGTTTCAACCGTGAAGCAACTGTGTTTGCATGGCTGTGTTTCGGTTTGAAGGGTGGGATATGGCGTGAATTTACTGGGTACAGAGAAATAACACCTGAGTCCTCAGGAATGGCAACGCATAGGGTGTATCATGGGCGAATCAGTATACTCTGTTATGTGCATGGTACTGCTCATGTCTATAGGCGACGGTTACCACTTTCCATCAGGTGGGCCGTCAGCTTGTTTGCCATTCTAAGTTGTATAAAAAATTATAATAATAATAACATATTAACTAAACAGCTCGATATATTGTTAGAAACAGGGGATTAGGTCTAAACATTCTCCTAAATTGCGGTATCACATTAAAATAAAAATTTCATAAATACTATAGAATATTAATTAAGAATAATATATATTCGATGGAATAGAATTGCGTTAAATTATTGTCCACTTACCCATGATATAATAGGAGCGAAGACAGGAAGAAAACACAAGCTAGCACGTCGGCGCGTCCAACCACGCCCGCTACCTGCAAAAGAAGATATAAAATTAAATTAGTACTAAAGAAAAAAGTGTTTCATTTATTTATTTAATCATTAGTACATATATGTGTACAAGGCGGACTTAGTGCTTAAAACATTGCTCTCCCAGTCAACCATAGGGAAGTGTCAGAATACTCGAATACGGTACTAGTAATTATTGATATACATACATGCTAAAAATTACATATGTAAACGAATAAATATATATGAATAACAAATACACATATTTTTTTATACAATTTAGAATGGCAAACAAGCTGACGGCCCACCTGATGGAAAGTGGTAACCGTTGCCTATAGACATGAGCAGTACCATGGACCTAACGGAGTATACTGTTTCGCCCATGATACCTCCCATGCGTTGCCATTTCTGAGGACTCAGGTGTTATTCCTCCGTACCCTGTAAATTCACATATATAAAATATACTATATTATATACGAAAATGAGAATAATATATAGTATTTTGACCTTGACCTTTAAAAAAGGTTTTGACCTTTGAAACTTAATAACCTTAACCTCCATATGAAATATTAATTTCTTAACACATAACCCTTAATATATGTATTATTCTATATAACTTAGAATACCGCTATCAAATATACAGTAATAGGGGGAAAGGGTTTGTTAGTAATGGGGTCTAACTGCCCCATAGTTAGCAATATACCCTATCAGGTCGACCTCCACGTAATTCACCCTGGAAACCATCGTAGGTAATTCTAGTTCAATTCATCACGATGGGCTAACTGACCTGCTTTCATCGTCACCTATCATCCCCCACTGGTGCTCCGCCAGTGTATACCGATAGCGCAGGCAGGGTAACCATTCCATTATCATCCATTAAAAAAAATATAAAATAATAACAAGATTTCATTTACAAAATATTATTTGGACAAATTAAATTATTACTGTATTAGTAACTTAACTTTTATTGTTTCTTTTTTTTATAACTTTGTGTCATTATGCCGTATAGGGAAGAGCACTGCTTATCCTAAAGTACAGGATTTACCTATTTAGGGAGCAGAGTTTTACCTATATTTAAAATGTAACATTTATTTTCAAATAAATTATTATTATGTTATTATTATTATTAATAAATACATTGAAAATCACATTTGATAATCTGAAGGTAGATTATTACATTAAAGTGATGTTCATCGAAAACTGGTTACGACAGTAACCAAGTTTTAGATAAAGCAAAATACAAAGGTTGTTCAAATGTTATATCTGTACTAATTTTATAAAAAGATAACATTCAAAATGTGTTAATTCAAAAAATACTCAACGATTTTAAATACTGTAAGCAAGTAACATGGAATGTATTTTATTAAAAAAATATCATGCGAAACCAGAGCGGGCTACTAGTATATTAACCTTACTAATATTATAAATGCGAAGTGAATTTATTTATTTGTTAATTTATAGCGTCTTAACGACTTAAGCAATCATAATTTTTGTTATACATGTATTATACGGAATGGAAAAAGATGCAAGCTATTTTATATCTCCGTTTTTAAATATATCCTTGTAACACAGGCGAAGTCGCGTGTGATAGCTAGTAAAATATGAAAGATAGATAAAAAACAAGTTTAATTTTTGATGTAATTTTCACTGAATTTAACTTTCATAAAAGATCCTCCTCAAAACCACTTCGTGTGAAAGTTTTAAAATACTTGAAATGAGAAACAAAGCACTTATAACTTGAAACTTTTTAAACGAACCTAAAATCGTCTAAGTTAAATCCTACTTCCTACTTATAAATGTGAAAGTTTGTTAGGATGTTTATTTATTTATATATTTCTTAATACACAATAAAGGACATGTCTACATGGCGGACTTAATTCTAAAAGCGTTCTCTCCCAGCCAACCATTGCGAAGTGTCAGAATACTCGAATGCGGTACTAGTATTAATTGAAATATGTACAAACATACTAAAATTTACATAGACACGTAGATATTCATTACATTAGGTATGTATATATGTATACGTATTTATTATTTATTAAACTTTAATACACCTAGAAAGCGTAAATGGCGGACTTAACGCCATATGGCGTTATCTACCAGTCGATCGTAGACAGGAATTGACGGTACAGCGTAATAAATTACCTAGTAATTTTGAACGAAACTTGGTACATAGATATTTTTATCATGATTTTTACGGGCAAAATCGCAGGATACAGTTGATGGAGGTAAACGGATACTGAAGGTTTATTTGTGCTAAAAATATTTTTTTATGTTACTTGCAATGGAAAAAAATTGACGATTTGCTAGATAGGAAGTAGTAAGCGTCACCTATTAACAGGAACAGCACCATGTACACTATAGATTGCACTGTGATAACCATGGCACCCCTCATGCCTGCCTTCCCTGGGAACTAAGATATTATGCTTCCGTTTTGTACTTAAAAAACAACAATGGCAAACCAAGAACAAATTTATAGCCCGGTTAGATACGAGTACATCGTGATTACATCTGTCCTCTTTAAAACTCGAGAAAACACTCAGTGATTATATTTTACCTAAATGATTATCATCATCATGATCATCATCATCATCATCATCTCCTCTACAGAAGGCCATAATAAATGGTCCCGAGCCACCTATATCCATTTACTTTCTGCAATATAGTTGATGTCGTCGCTCCATCTAAAGATCGTCCTACATTGCGTTTCCCTGCACGGGGTCGCCACTTAAGAACTTCTCCATCAGTTGTCGGTTCTTCTACCTATGTGACCAACTTATTAACAACAACAAAAAACAGCAAAAGGAATGGAGGACATTGAAGGGTCTTAGACACTCTAAAAAGTTCTTAAACGATAATGTTGAGGGATGGAATAAACTCATCTACAGCGGTGGCAGACAACAGGCAAGACTCATTATGGGTGCCCTAACTGGACATATGCCAATAAGGCATATACTACACAAGATGGGTCTATCTTCGGACACACTGTGCAGACTGTGCGGGGAGAAATCGGAATCCATGGAACACTTGATGTGCAACTGCGATTCGTTGGCAAGTATGCGTATGAGTCTACTGGGAACGGCTTATCTAGAGCCAAGGGACTACAGATATCTTAAACCGCAGAATATCGTTAGGGTAACACATAGGATCTATGAATTGATGGTATAAGGCAGAGGGAAGCACAAAAGATCCATATGGGTCGACGTGCATCGGCTTAGCTGACCCCATATGCGAAAAATAAGATAAGATAAGAACTTAATAACACTTAAGTAATGATGATCTCTTATTTTATTTATTTATTTATTTATTAAACACAAGAAATTTACAATGCGAGTACATTGGACCTTGCACTAGGCGAACCTGTATCGCGGGAGTTCATAAGAGATTACCAAGACACGGTATTTTACAAATATAAATTAAATTAAAATAGTAAGCCAAATTTACTTATAAACCGTAGCTTTTTTTATACCACTGAGGTGGCAAACAAGCATACGGCCCACCTGATGGTAAGCGGTTACCGTAGCCTATGAACACCTGCAATACCAGAGGTATTACGCGTGCGTTGCCGACCTTGAAGAAACCTTTTTACCCTCCTTTTGAAGAAGCTTCAAGTAAGTTGAGCAAAATACAGGCCAGTCTGATGGCAAACTCGCTAAAACCACTCTCAACCTCTGCCTACCCTATTTGTGATTATAATTTTGAGCATAATATATATATATTTTATTTTAATTTAAAACGCACACAATGCCCCAGGGCTCCGTATTCGCTGTAATTAATAAATCATGTTGACGGTATTAATAAATTTCGAGAGCTAGCAGTCGCCGACAGCAATTTTCCACACTGACAACCTACAGAGTGTATTGTGCATTATTATTTATTGCAATTCTTTAATGACCTCTTTAAACATCTCCAAAGTCTAACAGCGGTTGCAAATCCGCCTGCCAAACGCGGTAACTAGTTGTAAAACCTCCCAAAGTGGAGGTTTTACCAGATTGCTTGGGTACCTCTGTCCCATTCGTGTTTCAAACGTGAAGCAGCTGTGTTTGCATGGCTGTGTTTCGGTTTGAAGGGTGGGATATGGCGTGAATTTACTGGGTACAGAGGAATAACACCTGAGTCCTCAGAAATGGCAACCCATGCGTTGTAGGGTATCATGAACGAAACAGTATATTCTGTTATGTGCATGGTACTGCTCATGTCTATAGGCGACGGTTACCACTTTCCATCAGGTGGACCGTCAGCTTGTTTGCCATTCTAAGTTGTATAAAAAAAAAAGTTTGTGTTCAGCGGTGAACAGTTGAAGGCTGATATAATAATAATAATAATAATAATAATCTTTATTCACTGTGTATGACTGTGTGTATGGGACTGTGTGTGACTATTTAGTATTTTACTTATATTTGTACTTATATTTGTTATCCTTGTGGAAGTCTGGAGTCTGAACTAGGTCGAAACCTGTACTACAGATCTCTGAAGAAACCTCTTTACCCCCATTTTTAAGAACCCCACGCTGTAGTCTCTTGGGAAAACCTCGGCAAGGAGCTCATTCCATAACCTGAGTGTTCGTGGGAGAAAACATCTCTGAAAGCTTATTTTTACTGTGTACTGCTATTGAAGATCCGCTGACTGTCTAATATAAAATTATTCGTTTATTTACATTTTTATTAAGTCAATTAAAACAGATCGTGCTTGGAAATACACATTTCCGTGTTGTGAATTCGAATATTTTCACTTGAGTTATTTTACGAAATATCCTATCATTCATCGGTATATTTGTCACAAGTAAAGTAAATTTTATTGCGGAGCAAAATGGACTTGTTTGAATGAAATTTTGGACTTGGATTTGATTTGGTTTGAATGAAAAAATTGGACTTGTTTGTTGAAATGAATTTATATTAATTGTCAGACCCTATTTTTAATACATTGTCATTCGTATTTAATTTAGCTGTAGTACCTACTATTATATGTCTTCAGTGCCGAACTCCTTTATTGCCAGCAGTTATAAATTGCATCGCTTAACTTTTTA